GGGTACGGCCTTCCAAAGTGTGTGCTCAGCGGCTGGTATAGAGCGTGAATACTCAGAGCCCCATGCTCACTACCAGAACGGGGTGGTGGAACGCGCAAATCGGACGATCTCGGAGACGGCAAGAACGCTTTAAGTACATTCCGGGTTGCCTCACAACCTCTGGGAGTACGCTGCCCGCCATGCAGTATACGTCCGAAACCGAGTCCTTTCCCGCAGCTATCCAAATGCAACTCCGTATGAGCGCTATTATGGCCACGCTCCCGATGTCAGCCAGCTTCACGTCTTCGGAGAGCGCGTTGTGGCGAAGATCCCTCGCTCAAAGAGAAATACTCGATACAAGTTTAGAGAGCGAGGCAAGGCCGGTGTATTCGTCGGGCACGACAATGAGCGCAAAGGTTACTTCATATACTTTAGTGCCGGTGGCCCACGCATTCAGCGGACGTGCGACGTCGTCTTCATGCAAAACTTTCCCACATTTGCTGAAAACCCTCCAGACACTACTTTACGTACGTTCATCGAGCCACTTAGAGCTGAGACGGATTCGCGGGGAATGCAAGCAGCGAAACCCACCGCGGCAGTGCCAGCATTACGAGGAAGCCGCCCCATGAGACCTGCTGTAATCGAAACCTTTGCACGGGGAAGCCGCCTTACTGGGCCTGCTGTGACCGATACTCTCACACGGGGAAGCCGCCTTACGGGGCCTGCTGTGACCGAACCTTCAATACGGGGAAGCCGCCCCACGGGGCCTGCTGTGACCGACCCACAATCTGCAGGTGGACCTCAAAGAGCCCTTGAAGATAGCGACTTAAGCCCAGCTCCACACGTCGTCAGAAATGCAGACGATCTGACTAACGCTGCTGTCGAACAAATTAACGGAACCTCCGAGCTTACCAGACGTCGACGGTCAGAGCGAATATCAAGTCAACTCATCGGCCACGCTCTTGCAGTCCTGTGTGAAGTTGTAAAAGAACCAATCACCCTAGCCGAGGCGAGAAGATCGCCAAACTGGCCTTTATGGGAGACCGCCATCAGGGAGGAGATCGAGTCGCTGCGAGCCAACAACACCTTCGACGTCGTCACTCCTCCGGCTGGTGCCCACGTCATCGGCTGCACGGTAAAGTTCCGGGTGAAGAGCGACGGCAATTGCAACGTCGACCGGCTGCGCGCCAGACTCTGTGCTCAAGGCTTCTCTCAAGTGTTTCTCGTCGATTATGGTGAAACCTACTCGCCTGTGGCCCGCCTAGTTTCGGTACGGATCTTCCTCGCCCTCGCCATGAGATTCGGACTTCGCGTGTGCCAATGCGATGTACCGTCCGCGTACGTGAAGGCACCGCTGGATACCGTAATCTATATGCACCAGCTCCGCGGCTTCGAGACAGGCGAGCCAGGAACGGTGTGGCGACTGAAGAAGGCGCTATATGGCCTCAAGCAAGCTGGAAAGGAGTGGCATGACGAGATAAATGCGTTCTTCATTGACTACGGATTCAGTGCTACCCGCGAAGACGCATGCGTATATGTCCTCCCTGACAACTCCGTGATGGTCCTCCTTTACGTGGACGACATCCTCATTGGATACTCAGACCAAGTGGCCATGTCGAAGCTAGTCGAGGCCCTGCGCGCCAAGTATGACGTGAAGTACCTGGGAGACATCACTTGGTTCCTCGGCATGCGCATCAAGGTCGACACCGAGGCCAACACCACGACGATCGACCAGTTCCAGTTCGCAACGGAGATCCTACAGCGTTTTGCGATGGAGAACTGCAAGCCATCCGTCCTTCCCCTAAATTCAGGTTGCTTCTTAACTTCGGGCGACGAGAAGGACAAATTGGCAGACCATATTCCCTACCGAGCCGCGGTAGGCGCCCTGCTGTACCTGAGTAGAGTTTCTCGACCAGATATATCTTTCGCAGTCAATCAAGTGGCTGCGCACGTGAATCGGCCGACGGTCTCGCACTGGACTGCCGTCAAGCAGATCTTGCGGTACGTTGCAGGTACCCTACACATGGCATTGGTCTACAAACAAGACGAAAGTGCTAAGCCAGTAGAGTTGCTCACCGACGCAGACTGGGCAAATAACACCGAGGACCGAAAATCTATCAGTGGCGTCGTCGTGCGAGTATACGGTTGTGCAGTCGCTTGGGTAACTCGGCGCCAGAGTGTTGTAGCGAAGTCGTCAACAGCTGCCGAGTTCATCGCAGCCTCGATCGGAGTTGAGGAAGCCCGATGGACACGCATGCTGTTACAGTCCTTATCTGGAAGAGCCGCCACTGCCATCGCTGCCCGCGTTGACAATCAATCCACGATAGCTCGGATCGTGAACGGTAAAAGCTCTGAAGCGCAGAAGACGGTGGACTGCATGTTTTTTGATATGAAAGATGCTTTCAAGCGAGGCGAGGTGGTCATCACTTACTGCCCTACTGAGGAAATGGTTGCCGACTTCTTGACAAAAGCTCTCAATCGGCTGCGACTCAAGAAAATGCTGGAGCTCATCGGTCTGCAAGACATCAAAAGGTAGGCAGTGTCGGTGCACATGTTGCGGGGAAGTGTTGACGTATACGCTCCTCTACTTCAACATAGTGCACTCTCAGCCTTTAGTCCAGTCTAATTCATCAATTCACTTTCCAATTCCCCACCACGACAACATAATGCCCACGCTCAGGCCAAGCCTCGGCGTGCGGCAGACGCTTGTGCGAAGCTGGGTTGCACAAACTCTGAGTCGTCTGCAGTGTGCGCTGCGATCGTGCGGCCAGCTTTTCCACGATAAGGCGACTTCCATCCGGTTGTCGAGCAGCGAATTGTACGCGGCGATGCAGCGAGTTGTCTGCCAAGCTTTCGCCCAGACAATGTCTGCGAGTCTACGAAGTGAGTCACGCTCCTGAGAAGCGACGCGATGAGCGGGGCATCCTGAAATTTTTCATGCGCAGGGATCTCAAAGTGAATTTACTGAAATCTTAATATATTTTTGATTTAATTTTGAAAGAAAATAACTTACATTATGGGAAGGACACAGCTTGAAAATGTATTTATGGATTTGTGTATTCCTTCACGAGAGTTAAGAGCGCTGTCCAAATTGAAAAGTGATCTTTTTTCTCACCTATTTTTTTTTGTGAAGTAGCGCTAAGAAAAACGAGGTGCCGCAGACGCTTCATTTTAAAGCGGTAAAAAGAAAGAGGCTCGCCACCTATTTCTTTCGAGTCGCGCTTCATTTTTTAGTGTTGAAGTGACGCGTCGAGTGCGGAATGGAGGAAGCTTTCTGCGCGGAGCAAAGCGTGCATTTACACACAAGCGTCGCGGAGGGCGTCACGGAGAGCGTCGCGGAGGGTGTGATGCCGATGGCCATTGACTCTGGTGCGTCTAATCGTCATGATCCTACTTGATGCTTGCTTTAACTGGGATGATCCCGTCATTGTGCTAGAAAACAACAACTATGAAGCAAATACGACGCTGGCAAGAGAACTAGGGGCTGTCCTGGGGTGTACGTATTCCGACAAGGAAGACAGACCACTTTTGTTCAGCATAGAAGGTGGTGGCGAGAGAAGATTGTCGAGTAGCTCATCAACACGGAGCCAACTCGCAGACTACAGTGCCTCTCGCTACGCTGGAATGACACAGCTGCGTGGAGATCTTGATGAAGCTGCTGATGGCATGGACGACGAGGAAGGAGACCATTTCGTTGACCTGAAATGTGTGGACCGTGGCTTCCCACTTTGCACGCATCATCTTCGTGTCTGTTGTCGACACTGCAAATTTCTTCAGCACACGCGGGTTTTTGTAGCGAGTCTCGATTGCTAGCGCTGTCAGCGCGACCGTCCAGCGCATCGATGGGGCTGAGGTCTTAGATTTCTTCGGAGCAGATGTCTTCTTAGCAGGAGCGCTCTTCTTGGGAGCTGCCTTCTTCGTCTTTTTGTAGGCAGTCTTCTTCTTGAAAACAGCGTTCTTCTTGATCGGGATGCTCGTACGTGATGCTCTCACGTTAACTTGATCGGAGGCCAGTCGAGCTTTCTTTGTCGGTGGGCCTTCAGTAGCTTCGCTTGACGATTGCTGAGAGTCTTCCCCGGAGGCTTCAGACCACAGCACTGGATCCATTTCCTTCCCACGGATCACCACGAGTCTTTCAGACAAGCCTGCAATTGGAGGGGTCTCTTCACTTGCCAAAGCGTTGCTGCACTCCTGTGTAGACATAGCGTGCTCCAGCTGGCCGTCTTTTTTCAGCAATGCGCGTGCGGAATTGAAGTGCAAGGGAAACAACCTATCAAAATGATTGTATGAATTTAAATAGGTTTGGTGGAGTAAATTTGGCGGAGCCAATTTCTCATTTGGACATGCGACGATTTATTTGGCCTCATTTTTTTCTTTGCAGAAAAAAAGTTGTCGGGGGAAAATTAATCACTTTTTCTATTCGGACAACGCTCTAACGCGCTTGTTGGGCAGCCACCAGACATTCGCTGGCTCTGAGATGTCTGCAACCGGTGCCACCGACGCACACACCTCAAACTACCAGCTCTCGCAACCTTAGCCACGTAACTGACGCTTCTTTGAACAACGCTCAAGCCCCCCAAAGCCATTAATTGATCACGTTTTGATAGTAATTTGCCACAGCTGCAGCACAAGTTATTTATTTGCAGATTTTCGATCCTCTAATTAGAATACTACTGTACCGCTATTATCATTAGACGGAGAAATCCGTTTAAAATTTAAATTAGATTTTGAGGAACCCTGGTTCTTCATGTCCTTTGCCACTAGCAAATTGCCAGAAAAAAAAACACTTCGACCACCGTTTACAGCAGCATTGGAAGGACAGAAGCACATTGAAGGTCTGGGAATACACTGATACCTCCTCGAGGTGGTTGATTGCGCTTACAGCCTTATGCTGACGCGCTCAAGTTGAAGACGATCTTGATCTTATTATCTTAACACTTATTAATAATAAAGTAATACAGTACGTATTCACTTTCAATTGGATTATTTAACGCACCCAATATCGTTGGCGACCATAAGCGATGAAGACGGAGCCATCGGCGCCGCGTGTGCTCGAGCTGCTGGCGCCACGCTTCGCCGACTTGAGCGGCGTATCCGGCAGCCTCCCCGTGTCACTTGATCTGTCCGCTTCCTTGGACGTGCAATTGGTCTTCTGGGAGCGAGAAGGGGTCACCAAAGAGCTCGAGTGCGTCAACGTGGACGAAGGCTGTCCGCGCTGCAAATTTGAAGCTTTCTTGCGTGGTCTAGTGATCCTTAAGCGGCGTGGCGTCCTACATATCAATGGAGCGTATGCAATGGACCCAACGGGGAGAAATTTTGCCAGATTGCGACTTCAGATCGAGGGGATGCACGAAGTTGCAGCAGTCTCGAAGCTCGACGAGTTTGACTTTGTCAAGTGCCATCTCGATAATTACAACAACACTGGAGATTGCGTGACGGAGGATGAGAAAATTGAAGCAGCAAGACGCAGCAAGTGCCACGTCATGGGGTGCAAGCTGCATCGCTGGCAGACACCTCGGACCCAAGTGACACCGGAGAGAACGCCAAGAGCTGCGCCGCCCAGCTCGAACTGGGATCAACGGCGGTCCGGTTTGGATTCACCCAGCCGTGTGCCAGTGAAAAGGGAGAGTCCGGTGTCCTCTCCAGCTTCGCCACTCTCACTACAATCCCCCGTAAGTGCCCCATCGCCGGCGCCGAGCGTCGTCGAGTATGCTGTTTCTCTTAAAGACGAGGAGCCTGTGTTGTGTGAGCCTGCACCGCACCGGAGGCTGAATCTCCCTGATGTTTTCCACAGTTTGATGGCTCGTATTGAGGCTGAGCCGTCGGATTTGTGGAGTGCCGATGTTGTAGGACTGGATTTGACGTTATACGAACATCAAAGACGAGGATTGAGCTGGATGATGAAAAGAGAGAGTGCGGTATTGTGGGATACGCTGTTGCTCCACCCGTTCAGTGTTCCCGGCAGAGATAGTGATAGTGACGTGGAGTTGGAGACAGAGTTTAGTGAGACCGCTTACGACGCTTGCGGTGGGATGCTCTGCGATGAGCCTGGACTGGGTAAAACTATCACGATGCTGGCTCTGATCCTCCTGACAAGAGGACAGTGGACATCAAATTTGCCCGCTCGAGTGGATCCTCCGACGTCAAGTTCAGCGAGTGTGCAGCTCCGTTCGTCGTCTCGAGGTCGCTCTCTCATAGCCGAAGACTTGGTGAGCTCACGTGCGACCCTCGTTGTGGCTCCAGACGCGCTGGTTGAACACTGGGCGGAGCAGATTGACATGCACGTGGCGCATCAAGGGCTGAAATTTTATGTGGACAGAGCAGAAAAAATACAAGAAGCGCTGCCAAGAAGTAAGAAATTGGCAAAGTACGATGTCGTAATTGTGTCATTCTCTCGGATGGCCAAGGAGTGGAAGCTTCATCGACCTGCATCGGCAATGGAAAGGCACAACATCTCACGATATGGCTTTGAAGATCAACCGGATCGATACGTTGATGGAAGTCTCCGTGGCGACGTGTCTTCTCTACTCTTGGTGCACTGGTTGCGTATCGTCGTGGATGAAGGTCATAAGCTCGGCGGTCGAGCCCCCACGCAGCTGATGCAAATGTCACGCCTGCTGTGTGCAGAGCGACGATGGGTGATGACAGGAACGCCGTCGCCAAACACTTTGCAGTCGGCAGACCTTCAGTATATCCATGGGCTTCTGGTTTTCCTACGCAGTCAGCCGTACGGCCGACCTGATGGACATGCATGGTCAAAGGCGATCGCTCGTCCTTTCCAGAGGAACGAAGTAACGGGGTTCTATCGCCTTCAGCATCTCCTCAGTCGGATAATGATCCGACATACCAAGGAATCCATCCGTGACTTCCTCCCACGCCCGATCCGTCACACGGTTGTCGTTGATCCAAGTCCGAGCGAGTTCAAGCTGTATAACGCCATCGCGGAAAATGTTCGGGCAGGTCTGGTCATAACGACCATCGATTTACCGAAAAGCTCCTCTCACACACCGGGCGACGTCCACCCGGACAGTCTTTTGCATCGCAAGAACCACCAAGGCGCAGGACACGTGGAAAGCGACCTTGCTATTGCCTTCATGGGTGGATACGCTGTCGACTGGACCGTGAAGAAGGATAAGATGAAGAAAAGCTTAGACAAATTGCGGGATGCCGGAGTGAATGAAGCTCGCATGTCGGCTGTCTCAAAGTACTTGGAGAGTGTGCTCCACAAAGAGAAGACCATTTGCAGAGAGTGTGGGCTCGAGCGGCGCTTCCTCATGGTTCTACCGTGTGGACATCTGTGCTGTGCGCACTGTGTCGAGGATATCAAGAAAGAACTCGGTGAACCTTGCTGTAACTTCTGTGGAGATCCCTATGACGAAGATGACTTCGACTTCTTGCAGCCAACTCTCACCGGTGAAATATCGGCTCGAGGGCGAGACAAAACAATCGCTAAACTGCGTGAATCGGAAGTTCCTGAGTCGAGAATCGCTACTGTGACTGGCTACATGGACTCTCGGAGAGCAAAACCGGCCATCGAGTGCATAAGTTGTCATCGACAATTACACTTGCTGTTACTTCTTCCTTGTGGCCACATGTGCTGTGCCAACTGCACGGAGAATCGCTACCAAGAGGCAGGACCGAGCTGTTGCCTTTGCCATCAGCCGTATTCCCGCCAGGGGTTCAAGTCGCTGCAGCCTGGAATTCACGCCGAGGCGCTGGACGACCACGACCAACGGAGAAAGAAAGTGTCAATCAAAAAGAAGCGCAAGCGCGTTGGTCAGCCAACCAAGAAGACAGTTAGGCTGGTGAACGTCAAGCGAGACTTTTGGAAGATTGAGTCAAGTAAAATATTCTACATGGCGTCTAGAATTCGAGAGTTGATGAAGGAGTTCGAGCAGCCTTCGCATGGTCGACGACGCGAGCTCAAGGTGATAATCTTCTCGCAGATACGTGAGAGTATCTGGCGAACTAAAGTCGCGTTCGAGCAACAGGACATCCCCACTGCCGACTTCATCGCGCTTATCAATCCTCGCAAGCGCATTGAAAACTTGGAGGTGTTCCGCTCTAGCCCAAATGTTCACGTACTTCTGTTGTCAAATTTGGGCTCCCACGGCTTGGATCTGTCTTTCGTTACGCATATTTTTCTACTGGAAGAAATCTGGGATAAGTCTGTAGAACAGCAAGTGATCAGTCGCGCACATCGAATGGGAGCAACGCACTCGGTTGTGGTGGAGCAGCTATGGATGAGAGGGACGGTGGAATGCCAACTGACATCCGTCAATCAGCAGCTCTTTGAAGGAGAAGGACCTGAAGAAGATTGCGAGACGGGACAACATCAACCTACAAGAGAAGAGGTTCAAGAAGCGTCAAGCACCGGCAAAAGCAATTTCCAGGCCATGAAGATGTCGTATCTCCTCAACAACTTGCGGGTTCTGCCCGATGATGTGGCTGCAAAAGACGGCGAAGTGCGCTTCTCCGTTTTGGATGAGAATGAAGCCGCAATTCGGCAGGGAGTGCACACCATCTCAGAGTCGGGAGACGTGACAACCGTGTCAACCATGCCAATATCGCCAAAGGAATGTACAGTGGCGTCCGCTTTTATAAATCTTAAAACAAGTACGACGTCCACCAGACAGGCTGCTCCACGGATTACTGCGAGAAAGCCGGACTATCCTCCTGACATTATCGTGATTGACGATTCTTCGTCGGATGAAGAACACAAGAGTGAGAGCGATGGTGAAGATGAAGTAAGAGTTCCGTTGCGAAGGCACTTCAACCGAGTGAAGCAGGAGCCAGAGTTTATCGAGATCAAAGACGAAGACACCGAGTCGGAAGGCTGAAGTAAATGACAAAGATCAAGTGTTCTTTCAATCAACAGCAACATGTAGTGGATGCATTAATTTCTTCGTAGTCAAATTATACAAATATTTATCAGCCGTAGTTTTGCGTGCTGAAACTTGAGCAAATCGTGTCAAAACTTTTTTTATCTCACTCCCCACCACGTGAACGATGCTGGCAGGACGTATGCGCGAAGAAGGTCGCTCGAAAACTGCCCGATGAAAATCAGCGTCATCGTGACGAACGCCACTACCGTCAGGTGCCAATTCGAAAACACTTCTAACGTAGAGAGAGTCTCGGCAGCCACAAAGCTGAAAGGGTCCCGCTGGATCATGTCGTAAACGCCTCTAGGCACTTCGACGCGCTCGATCGCAAAATCCTCATTGCGCGTGATGGTAATTCCCAAAGAGCTCTACAGTAAGCAACGTCATGTTAGCTTTGAGACCATCATGTAGAATATTAGAACTGCAATACCTTGTCAGGCATGTGGCGAAAGACGTCGAAGGCAACATCTCCAGCGGTAAGCCTATGCGCAACAAAGTGCAACAAACTTTAGACAATCAAACCATGTCAACACACGTGATGAAGCTGTTGCTCACGAGACGAGCGCGCTGTCGTTCACTTCGCCTTCATTGATCAATTGTGGGAGGCTCTGCTTCCGAATCCAGACGGCATTGAGGTATACCCACTTGAGTGCGCGGTTGACTTCGTTACTAGACGTCAGCACTTGAGCTGGGTCTCTGCTGAAGTAAAAGCACACATGCAGAACTCGTGAGTACATCCTGCCCCAATGTGACGGCTTTGCTTCAACACACACCTGGCTCCAACGATTTTGGGCAGCACAAGCGTAATGGCTTCACACACGAGCGATCGGGCACGGTTTCCCATCCGATGGCTGATGTTATGAGCTCGAGAGCGTTCGCGATGGTCTCGAATTGTCCGCCTCAGGCTTGCGTGCAACCAAAAGCGAGCTGACTCGGCTTTCAGCATGTTGTTGATCTTGTGGCATGTGGCTCGCGCCACTAAAAGGTCTTCAGCAGTCAGGAAATGCGCTACTTCAAACTGAACTTCGTAAGGGAGGTTGAGAAACGTGCTGTCTCTTTGAGGGCTGCAACCAGAAGCATACACAGTCAGGTTAGCGTCGTAGCCCCACATAGTTCCTCACTACATGTCCACTTACTCTTGTGCCAGTCTGGCTGATACACCTGCTACCAAGCGACGTTCCGCTTCAGCAACGTACTCCACTGTAAGCTCTCCACAAACGCACGCCGTAATTCCAGTCGTGGTGCCAAACTGAATGGCGATAAGGAGATCTCCAGGCCACAAGAAATCGTAGGATAGGTACCAGCCGCTGCAGAGCGAAGCCACTTCCATCCACGAACGGCGCGTGTGAGTGGCGAAATTCGCCCTAAAGTACAATATACGCTCCTGAAGAATCATGCCGACCTTGCGCGTAGGTTTCCAGATAACGAACATGTCTCCAACAAGAGCAAAAATGACGCCACTGGTGGTGGCCAGGACGAATGCCACCTCGATGCTGCGGAGATGCGTGTAAATAATATTGAAAGCCACAGCACCGACCAGGCCCAGCAGACTCATCACAGGGAGGGGCAGGATCTGCGTCTTCTCCGCCTCGTGTCTATCTGCTTCTGTACAGAGCAACGTAATTGATGAATGTCAGTTAAGTTGTCTTACAAGATTATAAGCAACCCACAACTTACCGTTCAGCGGCATGGCTCGCGCACAGTTTCGAAGTTGCTCTCCGCCCAGCGTCACGAGCATTCCAGACAAAATACCGACCTGGACTGCAACGACTAAGTCGTGGTAGATCGCGTAGCTGCCATAGATAACGCCCATGAAGCAGCCGAACTCGACAAAAGAGCGTACTGGGTACTCTCTCCAGTTTTGGTTCACATTAATAAATCGATCCTGCAAGATCACACCTGCCCATCGAGTTGGCTTGAACAACACCAGCATGTCAGCGAAACACAGGAAGGCGATTCCAGCGATAGTGGCCAGAAGCACGGTGACTTCGAGGCTGCGCATGTTCTCAAAGATCCACTGAAAGGTGCCCGACCCAATGTACGCAAACAATAGCATAATGGGAAGCGGTCGGGCACGATTGGACTTAGCATTACTGGCACTGGGAGTTCCTATGGGAGACATCGGTGCAGCAAGCACCTCTTCGTCAGCGAGTAGACCCTGTCCCCATGGAATCAATTTCGACCGGTTTTTTCGAAAATATTCACCTGACAGCGTGACTGCAATTCCAGAGAAGGTGCCAAGTTGAAGCGCCAACACGAGATCATCGTATAGTGCGAACGACCCGCAGATAACTGCAAACCATGTGAAAAGCTCCAAGAACGAGCGTAAGGGCTCCAATTGCCAATTCTCCTTGGCGTTTGTAACTCGCCGTTGCAACAACAAGCCCACCTCACGAGTGGGTTCCCACATCAGGAACAATTCGCTTGCTGCCAGAAAGAAAATTCCAGCAAACGACGCGAGACAGAACGCCGCCTCGATACTGTCAAAGTAGTGGTAGATGGAGAGCAGAGAGACCATAGACGCATAGGTGATCAGAAACAGACAGAACAGCAGCGCACATGTTGCTGTTAGCTGCATACGCATGTGCGTTCCAACCGTCAGCTCGAGACGCGAGCACACCCAGTGGCCCCCGACCGATACGACAATTCCCGAAAGTGCAGCAAGTGTGAGCGAGCTGAAAACTGTCGAGGAAGCTGCGAACGTCCCAACGAAAACGCCAACAAACACCAGCGTCTCGACAAACATGTGAAGCGGAAAGACAACCCACTTGTTCTTGAGCTGCTTCACTCCAGTGTCGAGCAGTGCCGCAGGATGCAGCTCGTACGGAGCTGGACTCGTCAAGTATCCTACCGACGCTGACATCACAACATTGATTGCCGAATACTGCGAAAGTGACAGCGAGAGCCTGTCCTGGTTAATCACAGCGAAGAACGTCGAGCACATATCCAGTGTCGACACCACCATGATGCCCACAAACGTCCATTTGACTCGTTTGTACAGATGGGGATATCGCTCTTTCACGAAGCTCAGAGCACGATCCGACCACGACTGCAGCGTGTCACTAGGACAAACTTTACTCACTGTCGACTCTGCAGGAATATCAATCATTTGTGGCGAAGCGCACGAGATCTCTTGCAGTTGAGCTCCATCATTTACTTCAATATCATCCCAGCATTCACGAGAAAAAGCGATACAGAAGGCCGACAGTCCACAAGAAAACAAAACTCCTGGTAGCCCATAAGAGACCTTGCGAGCGATGAGTGTGATGAGGCCAACACAAAACCTGGCTGCCAGTCGTCTAGCAGTGCGTGTCAGCTCCCTCAAAGACGGTTTCCTGCCGGACAGTGCGAGCAGCGTAAGCGTGGTCGCAGCCACCGCGATAAAACTCAGCATCAGCGTCAAAGAACTTGATGGAACATTGGCTGCACGCACAATCGCTGCATACACTTGGAAGAGGAAATAGAGCATCATCACGACCACAGGAATGAGCTTCACCCAGTGGTCAGCGGGCATCTCCACAGCAGCCTGTGGGCTCGGCGGACCCACGAACCTCGGCCGACTGGCTGAGGCCAAGAGCTCACCACTGAGAATAAGAAGAACGCCACAGCACGTGCCAAGCTGCAGCGAGAGCAGCATATCCTTCGTCGTGCTGTAGTACAACGTCGTTGCACCAAACGTTCCTGTCACCTCAACAAGTGATCGCAGCGGATGCCGTTCCCAGTTCTTTCTAGCGCCCACAATTCGTCCCTGGAGTACAATGCCAGCTCGCCGAGTGGGTGCGCAGAGTAGCAGCAGTTCACTGGCAAGGATGAGCGACGCGCCGACGAGCGTAATGAGCAGGTAGTTGAACACGAGTTGGTCCACCGACTGGAACTGCTGCATTTCCTCATCAACGTCCTGTCCGAACACGTAGGAGTGCAGCTTGCTCCCGGTGTCGGATATAATGTACCCCACACAGACATACGACAGCGCGACCTTGAGCCACACCATGCCTCCGATGCCTCTCATCTGCTGCGGGTCCAATCTCGTCTCCAAGAGGTGCAAAGATGCCGCCAGGAAGTCGCTCACGAAAGCCAGCAGTGCCGCCGCTACTGCTCCCACCGCTATGGCGATGCAGCCCGAGTGCGACGCCGTATACAGAGACAAAACGCTCGCCATCCACGTACAAACCTCAAGGAACAATCGGCGCTTCTCATGAGGCCACGAGCGCGGGTTGGAGCGGTCTAGTAGCAGCTCACTGACGCGTTTGGTCCCTGGAAGTCTTCTCAGCACGTGGCAAATACTCAGGTAGCAGGCGCCCGCACTCGAGACTAGCAGAGTGCCGCCGATCACGTCGTGCACTCGAGGCGACAGTCCTCCACGTGCGAGAGCGAGCCACGCAGTCAACACTAGGCTTACTTCCAGCGCCAGCACACCAAGACTCTGCGAGCGACTCATGCGCCGCTCCGTGGGCTGCACGGATGATAGCTTCAAGGTGGAGACGAGCAAGTCGCCCAGCTCGTAGGTGGGCGCGCTGCGGTCGCGCACTTTGGGCCACGACGCCGTTGCCAACGCCGTGGCCGGAGATGCGCGTATGGACGTCGTCCTGGACGCGTCTGGAGAAGAGGCAGGTGAGTTGCTGAGGCAGGTGGGTCGCTTCCTGCCGCGAACGTTGTTATGGAAGGCACACTGAGCAGGTACCTTACTGCGACTGTCTTGGGTTAAGGAGTACCGGTAAGGCTGGGTGGTGAGATAGGTCTCGTTGAATCTGATACATCGCGTGTTTGGGGAGGGGTGAAAGCTAAGAAATAACCGACGATTAAGAGGAGGAATCATCTGGCGTAGCTGTCCGAAGGATGAAGTGAATTTGCTTGACGCATTGCTGTCCCGTCATCACTTCCCCGTCTTTGGCAGGATTCGCTCGACGATATCCGCGACATCCACCAACGCGTCACGCGGAGGAAGTTTCCTAAGGCCGGGGAGGAGATCTTGCTGCTTCTGTGGTCCAATTTCGGCGTGCAAAGATTACAAAGATTACCTCAGCGCGACAACGAGTCGCTGTGCAGACTGCTCTCACTCTGCGGTCAGACTCGGTGTGGACCTCACAGAGACCATGTTGAAGGTTCAGCTACGAGCTGGCAATTAGGACAAACACGACTAGCCCCATCAGCTGATTATTCGATCCACGACGTTATCCCAACTAAGTAGCCGCTGTCCATATGAGCTTGCTCTGTCAAAGGATCTCTGGCAAGGATACCAAGGACAGACACAGGGTGGAGAAATTACGACACGAGCTTAAACACGAAATAATCTTCGATGAGTTTAGTCCTTGCCAGCTTCTTCTGTCTCTGCGATGCTCGACGAGGAAGCATTGGGATATACTCGACACATACCGGAGAAGGAAGATCCACGGTGCTTATTTAAGCCGCCAGCTCCACGCTCTTGCCGCTGGCCTTCGACCACTTGAGCAGCGCTTCCAGCATCACGTTGGGGTCGGCGTCGCCCTCCACGAGGATCTGCTGCTTCTCCACATCGCACTTGACGTCCGTCACGCCTGTTAACAGCCAAGAAGAAAGAAGGGGGCAAGGAAATCAGCATTGCATCAAGAGCAAGCGAATCAGGAGTGAGGACGCACCTTCGATCTTGCTGAGGATGCGCGTGCAAGCGCTGGAGCATCCATCGCATGTCATGCCCACCTTGAATTCGGTCACCTTTACCATGCTTGTTGCTTTTCAGGGGCTTCTTGAGGCTCGCTCGGTGAATTCAGCTGTGCGATAGTCCGACACGTGCCTTCGATCGGGATGCCAGGAAACGTATGCTACTTCGAAGTATAAACTTTTGCTAGTACCGGTATCGGCATTGCCCAAACCCGTGTAGAACCCGGATGGCAAAATGTTCACGTAACGTTACGCAATCTACTGTCTGTGAGTGAGCCTAAGACAGCAAGAGCAAGAAAGGGTTTACAGACGAACAGTTATTAATATGATAGTGACGATGGAAACATAGCATCATTACTGAATGGGTGTTGAAGCAGTTTCTCATTCGACTTTTACTCGAAGTTGGAGGCGCACAGCATAATTTGTGCTACTTACTAGCTTCAAGTCTTGAAGTGCACTAAGCTTATTAAAAAGCCTGGGTGAAATTGCTTATGGGAAATGGACGATAAAATTCACCGAATAATACATGAAGTAGTGGGAAAAATTCTAGAGATACCGTAAAAGTGTAGACTCTAAGTGTGGTTTCCGGTATGCCGAAATGTGGGATCGGTAATTCGATCTGAGACATGTATTTCAAATATTCAAAGAAATCGAATTTATAAAAATTTGAGTGCCATTCATTTGTAAGAAGGATTCGCGTGGGGAAGAGTGAATGGTACGGAAACTTGTTCCGTTTGTTTGACTGCCTATACTGACGTGTGACGTGCTGGGGCTATACGGCAGAGTGAACGCGAAGAAGATCCCGATGGGCAGGTGGAGCGGGGTCACATCCTTCTCCAAGGTCGAGATCGTCTATTAAACCTTCGCGCTAGCCGCGAGAACCTCGAGAGAACCAGAGAGCTGCCAAATTCTCAGCCGCTCCGGCAAGCGACGCAATCTGCTGCGATAAAGCTAGTGGAGGAAGTTCTGAACGAAGAGGCCGTGGAGGCTCAGGTACAGCAAATGCGTGCGGAGTACGCAGCAAAGCACGGGCCTTCGAAAATGATGCCAAGGGAGCGGGCTACGGCACCACCGCAACGTCATAGGAATCGCATTAGCCAGCGCGATTGCCGACAAGGACGTTTCTCCGAGAATGAGGTGGTGGAAGAAGATGAAGAAACGCGGCTACAAAAATCATGTCGTTCGCCAGTTGATGATGTAGCTGCAGCGCGACAGTTTTTCGAGCTGAGTGGCTCGTCATCAGACGAAAGCTCGCCCGTACCTTTTGTCGCCACACAATTGCCGCTACTTGGAAGCGAACTGAAGTATCTGACGGATAATACGGTGCTGGAAGCCCCAGATCGGGCCCAATTTGAGAAATCTAAAGACTCACAATTCGAGAAACCCGATGAAGCACAGTTCGGGATACGTGAAAGCGCGCACTTCGGGATACCTGATAGCAAACATTTCGAGAATTCAGATGACGTCAATTTGGATATACCGGAAAACTACGGCAACTGCAGCGACGGTGTTTTGAACGGCTTCCCTTCGAGGTGGAGCTCTTGGAAACAATTTCATGACGGACTTAAATCGTTTAGTGCCCAGACCAACCAGTGTTTTATTATTCGATCGTCACAGACCGTGAAAAAAAGGAATATGCAGATGAATGACGGTATTCGACACTTTCCAATTGCATGGAAGCATTACTTCAAAACGCTAGTGTGTACGCACGGACACAAGCAACGACCACGCGGCAAAGGAATCCGAGTCCACAGATCGGTGCGCTACACAGGTTGTACCGCGAAGGTACACGCTCTGTTATCGAGTATGGGAACACGACACTACATTTACGTTCGCAGTTCTGGCACTCACAACCACAACCTGAGTAGCACGCTATGGGACTATTACGCAGCCAATCGAACAATTCAAGATCCCGCGCTACTCGCCACAGTTTCTGACATGCGCGCTGCTGGTTCCTCGCCTAAAGGCATTCTTGCTTGGATCCGCAAACAGACAGGTTATCTACGTAGAGGCTGACTAATTCCACAAATTACTTAATGCTTTTGTGTGTGATTTTATTTACATATAGGGAAGAAAACGAAGCTCAAAGATGTGCATAACATGCTGCAGGAGCTTAAACATGCAGCAAAGGGATCAACTACAGACGTTGAAAGAACCGAAAGCGTGCTACGTGAGTTTACCAAGCAGGACGAGGGGAACACGGCAAAGATATTCGTGGACACCACCAGAGAGGTGGCTGTAGCGGTGGTCTTTCAATCGTCTGGGATGAAAAGACTTTTCGAAGCTTTTCCTGAAGTTGTAATGGTAGATACAACTCACGACACAAACACGAACGCATACAAGCTTTTCAGCTTTGTTGTGCATGACTGTTTTGGAAAGGTACACTAGTAATGTTTATATGGAATCATTTCGACAGTTAACGAACCTATTTGATGTTTGCGTAGGGTCAGTACGTTCAACACGCATTGGTTGAACGGGAAACCAAAGAAAATCTCCGTCTGGTTCTCCATACATTCAGAAAGAACAATCCCGGCTACAAAAACGTGAAAGTACTTATGACAGATAAAGCTTTCCACGAGAAGGAGGTTCTAGCTGAGGTTTTCGAGGGAACTCGTCAACTACTTTGTCAGTTTCACGTGCAGCAGTGGTTCGCTAAGCAAGTGGGGAAGTTAGTTGTTGGAACTACGGAGACAAAGGCTATAATTGAGGCATCTATGGCTCAATTGATAGACGCCGCGAGTACCAGCGAGTACGATAACCAGAGAGCTTTCCTTCTGGACCTACTTGGAGGAGACACGCAACACAGGCTGTGGAAATTGTTCATTAACAACTGGGATAACATGCAAGAGCAGTGGGTCCGATATAAGCGTGGTAACATACCCCACCTTCGAAACAACACCAACAATCGGCTTGAATCAAAGTGGGGAAAGCTCAAACAGTTGATCAGATCGGACTACGGGATTGATGAGTTGGTCTCCGCGCTTATAATGATACAAGAATGGGCCGAAGACGAATACGTGGAGGAGTACAATAAGGCAGGGTCAAGACCTCCAATGGACGAGCATCAGGAGCTGGCTCATCTTGGCGTCGTTGTAAGCTCGTTCGCTTTCGATCTTGTGAAATCTGAATTCATGTACGCATCGTCGGGTGACGCTGATTACGCCTTCACAAATCACGACAACCGAGTGATCATGCAGAGTCGCCGCTCTGGAAAAAGCTACGATCTCGATTTACAGGTAAAACTATATAATTCTTTGATTTTCAGAGATTGCTAAGTGTGTACAGATCGGGATACCTAAATGTAAAACGGGCGACAACTGTACTAACGACTACCCTGCTGTTGTTTTTATAGAGCTACAAGTGCGACTGCGCGTTTGCCCAAACGCTTCTGCTCCCGTGTCATCACGCAATGTACTACAGCAAGTTAAACGGCAACGAGAGCATTCTTCCACCACTCTCTCTTATTTGCCCCCGATGGTTGCGATCCCACCCAGCGAATGACATTACGAATGGACCAGTCTTGCGGGGGAAATTCGAGTACCACAGCGTGATGGCTAAGAACAACGACAAGAAGCAATTCCCTAGTCCGACCTCGCTGCCAAAATCTGTCAAGTTTTCAAATGCAAAGATACTGGGTGAAGAAGTCGTGACGCTACTAGCGCTCCAGCCAACACCCACGTTTAGTAGGGGCATGCAATGGCTTACACTTTTCCGGGACGCAGTTCGAACTGGAACATTGGAGGATTTCGTCGGAATAACTGTCGCTCCAAACGCGCCAGGTCCTGAAACAGAACACGATGAAGCAAAGCCCGCAACGTCAAGCTCCGGCTCAAAAATGAAAGAGCAATCGAACGGAAAGCTCGGAAAACGTAAGTACGCTTTCACGAAGCCAGTGCAAAACAAAAAACTGTCAAGAAAGGCCCAGACTAAAATAACGCGTATTCAGCGAAAGATTGGCGTGCGCACCCTGGCAAAATTGTGCAAGGACCAAAAAAGCAAGCCGGCAGTGACTCCCATAATGCTCGACTGTGTACTGTCTGGAAATTATTGCTACAACGTGGTATCGGAGAAACTATCTTTGTTGGATTTACCGGTATGCGAAGTAAAGGGCAATGCCACGATTCGATTTCTCGAGGACAGACAGCGGTTAACAATTGACGATGTGACTCACCGATTACCTGCGGATAAAATAACACACGCGTTGTCAGTCCTGCCGCTAACGAACGTCGAGAAGTACGTGGCGGTGTGGGAGGAATACGGAGATGTCACCCGAGAACAACTTATGTTCCTAGAGCGATATGGAGACGCAAAAAATCAGATTGAGGATGTTGAACATACACTAGAATGGATTGAGGATGTAAAATGGAGGGCTACCGCTGTTGAAGAGGTTCCTGTCATGTTTTGGGAGCCACTTCAGGAGAGAAGGGTACGTTGACTTCTCGCACACGGTTACTGCTACGAGAAGTTATGCGAGATTGGATACGTGCTAACGTCAGTAATTTTTATCATAATACGTTTCGCAGGACTACATTCTACAGCAAATTAAGGAGTTACCCCTTCGTTTATTCTCCGTTGGAAAAGAGGCTATCGATGGATACCGTTTGCTCAGCTTTCGACGAAACCAATGGCTCAGCACGACAGCCATGATAACAACGATGAAAGTGTTGGCTGAGAAGTACACTGACGTCGGTGTGGTGAGTCCCTCCTTTCGCGAGCCGAAGGAACCCGACCGAAAGAGAATAGTCGCAAATGCTTATAAGGCATTCACACCCACCAAGAGCAAGTTGATTGGGGCGCTAAACTACGATGGAGCACACTGGGTAGCCTTCTTCATTGACGTGGGGGATCGGGTCTGCATACTCTTTGATCCACTACAAGAGAATATGAACTACGCAAAAATTAAAGCAAGCATCAAGGAAGTGGTGGAACCTCTGTTGCCTGTAAATACCGAGCTGACGTACGACAACTACACATCGTGCTTTCAGCAGGACAGCGACAACTGTGGATTGTGGTGCCTCATTGTTCTTGAGCTAAGTTTAACTGGTATGCCATGGCACAAGGGATTGTACCAGCTGGTCCCGTATCTGCGACTGCGTTTCCTGAGCCTGTGCTTGGGCTACGTTGAGGAAAAGCGATAATGCTGAGTGTGGAATCTCGTATTGAATTGCGACTTAAACTTTTCATCGTACTGCATTCATGAATGCTTCGTTTTGCTTTTGTTTCACTAAAATGTCTGCATTTACTTGCTCAACCTGTACAGTAACGTTCGTTGAGATCTACATTAACTGAATTCGCAGAATCTGCTCTATGCATTCCTAAAGAAGACCATTCTGTTGGTATACGTTTTTTAATTGCGTGGCTGCTGTGAGTGGTCTAGCCGTAAGTGTATGCGCTGTTGTTTTAAGTGCTGTAGCCGTTGCTTCGTCTCGGTAATAATGAAAATGATATCGTGTTCTGTTTTATCGCGGTGCTGTGGTATCTGCTGCTACGGTGTTGTACTGTGAAGGTGTAACTGTGAGTTCTGCAGATTTCTCTATTTTTAGAGACGTGATGTTGTTAGAGTGCAGCCCTCTTTGGCAAAGCACGGCCAAGATAAAAAACACGATCTGCTGTTTCGTGTTTTTTCCGGTATCTCTAGCAAGAGCCGAAGTAGTGGCAGGCATTATTTGCTGGTGCTGCACATTTATTACGCACCGATGTGTATCAGGTACGATTTGATCATCTCACTACAGTAGTATCAAAATGTTAAGGTGTGTTCGTCTGTAGTCTCGGCATCTGCAAACGATAGCTGCCGGGCTGACAAAGTATGACAAATTAAAAGTGTCTATATGTGTATGTGTCAATGAAATAAAGCACCAAAGCAAAGCTTTTACATCGCATCGCATCCTGGCAATTGTTGACAAGGCAAAGGTGCACTTCTGGTGTACTGTACATGTACATGTACCCAGTGGGTACGCTTAGCCTTAAATCAAGGCGGTGGATCTATGACTTTTAGGACTTTAAAAAACCGGTCGACGTATTCTCTGTAATTAATTTGTTTCCGCATCGTAACTCCGCTGCTGCTGGTGACGGTTGCAGCATCATTGGGCAAGAGCGTGGGTATGTCCATGTTCGATTGCTTCAAGACAAACTCGGTTCCTCCGTACAATGTAGTTTGTGCCCCTTTTTCATGAATGTAGCGATAAAATACATGGACATTGTTTCGCGCACAAACCATCCTCCGTTTGCAGTTTAGCTCAAGTCAGCCAGGCGCGCATATAGCGTCGATATGTCACTCATCTGGCGATGTCGTGTGCACATGGAGTTGACAATTGCATCCTGTTCACTTTCAAGAAAAACTGTGAGTGTACATGTCATGTACATATTTGTGGTACCGGTACATGTACCGGTACACGAGTTTGTGGCTGTTAGATTTTTTAATTTACAAAAATGAAAGTATTTTTATTACCGCAACGTAATGAAACGTGAACAATCAAAGTTTCAAAAAGTTGCAGGACATGGCGGCGTCCGCTGCTTCCAGTTTAGGTGTTGCAGTCGGTGTGAGCCGCACCATCGAGCTATTAGCACCTGTGTACGATGAAGTGTGTCAACACCCATCAGGTGGCGCGACGAACGTTCCAGTGATGCTGCAGCGCACGGCAGATGACTGGATCCGGCTCGTGTTTGCTGGACCCAACGTACGGAAGGATGTGGTATGCGTAAACGGAGCTAGCGGTTGCCGCTGCGACTTCGTGCGCTTTTTACGGGCTCTGCTGGTGCTTATGGAGCGACAGATCGTGGTGATGGATGCCACGTACGCCACGACGCCGCGAGTCATCGGCCAGAAACGCGTCGCGACGCTTCAGTTACGCGTGCGCGTACACGATGACGCCCAGCGCGGCACGTCTCTCAAGGACTTTGACTTCGTTCTATGCCACCTACAAGCCACTGTTCTGACCATCGTGGCACGCAACGAACAGGCGAAGAAAGAGGCTCTTAATGCTGCACTAGAGGCGGCCAAGAACACCTCGTGTCATGTTGTGGGCTGTAAACTGCACCCTTGGGATAAGGCCATTCAACCCAAGCAAAAACTTAATTTGCCCGACGTATTCCACAGCTTAACAAGCCAAATGGAGGTGGATCAGATGGAGATCCGAGACGACGCCACGTACGTGGCTCGAATGACTCGCCTGAACAAACAGGTCGTCATGACCGACCTGCCTACGAATGTGCTGCAGAATATTGTGTGTCTTATGAACGCACGCGGCCTCGCCTCTCTGAGCGGTGTATGCTCGCTGTTTCAACACATGGCCTACGAAGTGGTGCCTGGCCTGAATCTTGTGCTTTACGAGCACCAGCGGAGAGGACTGAAGTGGATGCTGCGCCGCGAAACACGGACATTGAGTTGCATCCCTCAGCCACATCCATTTATCTTATCTTCCGAATCAAATAGTGTATCGGCAACGGCGATTGATTTGATTGAAGACAGAGTTATCTCGCACCCTCATGAGACCGCAAGGGACGCGTGTGGAGGCATGTTCTGTGACGAGCCAGGGCTCGGCAAAACCATCACCATGCTGGCATTAATCCTGCGAACAAAGGGACAATCTACAGACAACACACCAGTTGATTACGGTGCGTCTACAGCTAGGCCAGGTTTACGCTCGTCCAGATCTCGACGTCGCTCCGTCAATGCAGAGGACCTGGTGAGTTCTGGAGCTTCTCTGATCGTCGCTCCAGATCCGCTGGTCGAGCACTGGAAGTACCAAGTCGAGGCGCATGTTGCACCGGGTGCCTTGCGGATATTTGTCGATCCTGGTGTTGAGTTCAAGCTGCCATTCAATTTCGATCTGGCTGAGTATGATGTTGTTATCACCTCGTTCACAAGACTGGCGCGAGAATGGAGACTTCACAGACCAACATCCGCCTTGGAAGCACGTATGCCCGAACGATATGGCTTTGAAGGTCCTCAACGGTATGCTGACGGAACTCTTCGCGGAAATGTATCTTCCCTTCTGACGGTTCACTGGTTGCGAGTCATTGTAGACGAAGGGCACAAACTGGGTGGTCAGACTCCATCGGATTTAATGCAGTTAGCTCGGTTAATTTGTGCTGAACGACGATGGGTTATGACAGGAACACCGACGCCAAACACGCTTCAGTCGGCTGATCTCCGCTACATGTATGGACTTCTCGTGTTCTTGCGCAATCGACCATACGGAAATCCGGATGGACAGGCTTGGGTGAAGGCGATTGCTCGCCCGTTCGAGCGTAACGACATTGTTGGATTCTATCGCTTGCAGCATCTGCTCAGTCGGATCATGATGCGCCACACGAAAGAATCAATCCGGGAGATATTGCCCGAACCGACCCGACGCACCGTGTTTATCGACCCCACGCCATCCGAGTACTCACAATACAACGGCATTGCCGCAGCTGTCCGTGCCAACTTGGTCATTACAAATATGGACCCGAAAACGCCTGGTCACCAGCATCCAGATAGCTTGTTGAACCCGGTCAATCGGAAGGAAGCATTGCGTGTGGTCTCCAATCTTCGAGCTGCATGCTGCGGTGGATCTGCTGTGAAGGTTTCGCTGGCCGACTCATCTCGACTGGATACGATTAATATGCTGAACGCGCTCAGTGTAGATGGCGAGAACATGGGAACCGTGATTGATTACCTTCGAAAGGTTCAGCTCCAAGGGATGGTAACGCAGTGTGGATGCTGCAAACGCAAGTTGCAATTGCTTATGATCATCCCATGTGGACATTTGTGCTGTGCGGACTGTGTGGAAGATCGAATGGAAAGGGTGGGGCCCATTTGCTTTCGCTGCAATGCTGTGTTTGATCGCGAAGCCTTTCAAAGACTTCAGCCCGGATTTGAGTTTGAGCTGGTGGAAGCTGTGACGTTGGAGGCAAACGACCCTGATCGAGATCAAGAAGCAAATGGCCAAATTGCTCGCCGGCAGCCTCGTCGTGCGATGGATTATACTCGTGACATCCATTTTATTGACGCTAGTAAAGCTTTTTACGCTGCCACTCGAATTAAAGAGCTGAAGGAGGAGTTCTTACAGCGCAACATGAATCCAAGCAGTCGTTCGTCGCGACGCCAAGCGCGTAATCTCAAAGCCATCATCTTTTCGCAGTTCAAGGATCACATCTGGCACACAAAAGTTGCGTTCGCTCAGCAGGGTTTGCATACCGCCGATTTCATTGCAGGACTTAGCCCCGAAATCCGGATGAAACAGCTTACGCGCTTTCGCAAAGACCCGAATGTGAATGTCCTGCTGCTAACTGAGGTTGGTTCGCATGGGCTGGACCTCTCTTTCGTCACGCACATTTTCTTGATGGACGAAATTTGGGATAAATCGCTGGAGCGCCAGGTTATTAGTCGAGCTCATCGGATGGGCGCTAACCACGCTGTGGTCGTGGAGCAATTGTGGATGCGTGGCAGTGTGGAAAGCCACATGTTGAAGCCTCATGAATTATCCGACGAAAACCAGATCGAATTAGAGGAGAAACCAAAAGTACTTGCTTCATCTACTCGAACTAGAGCACAGCTAGGGGAATCTCCGGGAAGATCGCCGAAGAAAACTAATACTGGCGGAGGAAAGATGTTCAATGCTCCCAGCAAGAAGCGCAAAAGGCATCGTACGGAGGGGGATGTACGAACTGCACCAAAAAGCAACAAGAACACTATTCTTCAGCGCAAACTCGACTACGTTTTGCACAAGTTGCGTCTACTGGAAGAGAGCATTGTCGGGGAGCCCGGTCAAGTACGATTTTTGGTTGAAGACGATCAAAAGAATGTGGTTCGACAAGCAATTCATGTCATGCCCAACCGAGGATCTCGCGGGAGTACAGCAAATACCCAGCTATCGACACCGACAGTAGCTACCACGACTACCCCGTTGTCAACGGTCCAGACCACTGCACGCTCACGTCTGCAAGTAAGGCGGGTAGTTACGTTTGGGGAGGAACCTATGCAACTTACTTCTTCAGACAACCCGACGCCTGAACATCTGTCCTCAAATGAGATAGTTGTGATTGACAGCTCTTCAGGTGAAGAAAATAAAGAGGGAGACGACGGGGAAGAGAAAGAAGAAGATATCGAAGCAGTCACGATGGTGCAGAACTCTCGATGGAAGCAGAGACGAATCGTTGCTGCCTTAACCTCTAGTGGTGATGATGAAGGAAAACCACCGGCTGCTATTGTGGTGAGGGATGAGGTGAAGGCGACCAAGACAACAATGATTGTGAACTCCAAGGCGAAGGCAGTATCCTTTAGAATAATCGACGATGACGATTCAGAGACGGGTTCCGAATGACTCGATCGATCGTTGACAAAAAAACGAGAGTTGTAGATCCGTATTATTGTCCTGAAGTGTGGATAGAACTGAGTTATGACGATGGGCTACTTCGAGAGTTAGCTCCACACGGCTTCGTGACGAGAGGCGTTGGCCTCTCCAGCCTCTTTGATAATGGAATAGAAATTGTCGCCAGAGTTCTGGCACATATTCTTGTCCATTCGCAATTGCGCATTTCGCAGGAAGCCGAGGAACTTCCTCTCCTGAGCACTCAGATCGGGATGCCACACGTCGATGATAAGAACTATCCGGCTACGGCTGCCATTGTCGTTCCACGCTTCATGTTCAAACGAGTCGTCAAAGATAAAACACTTTCCTTCTTGCACGTCCACCACTTCGTCACCTGCACGAAGTCGGCATTTGCCTTCAGGAACCACCAGCGGCAGATGACAACGAAGCTTTTTGTTGGTTGGACCATGGTGCTTTTTGACATGGGTGCGTGGCGCCAGTGCAGAGAAAAACGCGTGGTCGTAGTGCCCGTCAATGGACTCAATAATAGCAGCAGTCTTCGGACACAACTGCCGGTTCGCTTGGAAGTCGACGTTGTGCAGGAACAGGTACAGCACATTCCAGTCGCCTGCGTCGTGGCCAGCACTACCCAGCCCGTCCTTCGCCTATGAAAACACATGCATCGTTGGTTGGTCACGATCCATACCAGAAGCTAGCAACATCGCTGCTTACGTCGATATCGCTAGCCCAGGACGGCGCTCGATAAGGTTGGAAGGCTGACGTGGCGCTGTTCTTTAACGACAAGAGCTCCTCCTTAATAACCGTGAAGTTTCTCTCCAGCGTCTGCACCCATGGGAACTCACTGCAGTCCCACACGGGTATCGCGCGCAGTAGCGGGATCAATTGGGGACACCCCACCTGCCACGCTGAACAGTCGTCAGGAATCCGCAGCTGGTTGAGCTGAAGCACGATCCACTTGCCCAGGTGACGAAAGGCTTCACGATCTGAGTCGGAGCCCAGCGACCGCTCGATCCACTGCAACGCTATCCGCTCGCTGAATGTGGACACGCCCCAGGACCGGACCAGCACTCGAAGCTTTTCCTCGATGTGGTGCTTATCATCATCCAGCATTGCGACTGTGAAAGCGCAATCTTGAAAAATAAGATGGCTACAGGGATGGTTTCATTCTATTGGTCAAAATAAATAGAACCATGTCGTAAATTTTGAAGCCAGTCTTGTTTTGGCGCCAAGGCAAGATGAGCGGCGGGTACCTCGATATCGACGCTATCTTGGCGGAGGACGAGCGCATCAAATGCAAGTTTGACACCAATGCCCTGGACTGCGGGTATCTGGACCCCAGTTGCCTTAATCCAGATCTAGCTGAGGGGGCTGTAGTGGAGCTGCCGATGTGGCTGGCCCGACCGCTGGCTCAGCGTGGGGACGTGAGTGTAGAGCCGCCACACTACCTGACCAAGCGTTTTCGTCGCATGCTCAAGGCCGGCCCTTCCTCCGTGAATTTGCGTGAGTTTTCAAGCTACGTGCTGGACGTTGGACGCCAGCTTCTTCCCTACGTGAGCGACGAGGAACAGGGCGAGATCGATGAGATCCTGCGTCTCTGCTTCGGAGGCGAGCGCTACCGTGACCTCCTCAACAACGTTATGAGCTCGTTGGATGAGGACACGACTGAGTTCACACGTAAGCTCACGCAGGACGAGAAGAAGCTCTTCGACGCCGGCATCCGTGATGCCAAGGACTTCATTCAGTGGAAAGGACGGAACGCTGAGATCATCTCCGCCGCCACCGTCGTCGAGCGCTCACTCAAAAAGCGCAAGTTTCGAGCTTGAGGATATTTTGGTAAAATAAATAGATTACTTCTGAAAATATCGTACTTAAATCATGCATCACAGTATCAGTACTGCAAATTGACCAAGTGGCACTTTAGGCAAGATGCTGGTGACGTTCGTGCTGGACACGAGTGCGTCAATGAACCAGAGCACGAGCTCTGGCATGACACTGCTGGACTATGCCAAGTCAGCGGTGGAGCGCTTTGTGAAACGTGTTCGAGACCCGAGTCGGCGCTACCAGCACCACTTCATGCTGCTATCGTGTGGACGCGATGGGCGTCTTAAAGGTGGGAGCAAGAGTGCGGACGCAACTTACAACGGCCGTGTGCGCGTGGGCTGGGACCAGTCCACTAATAAGGAGGCTTTCTTGCGCGAGCTCAAGAATCTACGCGCCACGGACCTGAGCGACGTGGGATCCGCGCTCAAACAGGCCTTCGAGCTCATGAACCAGATCCGCCTCCAGTTCAACTGGGACAGCTACGGACTGGGCCGCGCGCCCTGGAACACCAACGTGTCGGTGTGCGTGCTGCTCACAGACGCCACAACGCTGTCCAGCGCCGACGGACTCATCCAGGACACACTCACTATCGCACCGTCGAATGCGGTGGGAGCGGACCTCACGTTCGAGCCTTACAGATGGGACCAGCGGCTCTTTACAGTCGCGCTTAAGCTGTCGGCCACTATGAACGGCGTCAAGGGACAACCTACTGTACCAGCGCACTTAATGGCAATCAGTGAAGCCACGGGCGGGATGCTGTACATGCCGACGTCCAAGCCTGCGGTGGAGCAGAGTATCGATCAGATCATCCTGAAGCTTAAAGCTGGAGCTGTGGTCAAGTTTAAGTGCGAGGCAATGGAAGGAGAAGCGGAGTTCCCTGTGACAAGGAACATAATTGCACCGATTCATAATGGGAAGGAGTTTTCCTGGCCGGTGGCTGAAGGTTTTTGGCTAGATAGAAACACCGTCGCGCTGCCCACGCGAGAAGCTCAGCCGACGCTGGTCTATTCACGCACGGTGGAGAATGCTATCGAGGCGGCCACAAGTCATATGCTGCTAGATACGTTGAAGTTCCCAGCTGATAACTATTTGCTGGAGACATCCATCAGCCCTACACCGAGTCGCGGGCAGCGCTGGTTGGTGTATGTCCAAGGCAGCAAGGGAGACGGGCGTCTGGGAGACCCTATTGGAATGCTACGTGCGCCTAGTTCGACCCCTGGCATCCCCACTTTCAACGCGGTGCTAGTACTTTTGCCCTATAATTTCCCCAAGCTCTTCTCGCTGCTGGTGGAAGTCGCGCGAGTGTACCAGGCGAGTGGACAGAATATCAATTCGACGTCGGGCACGTGGATGTTCCAAGCCAAAGCCATGCCGTCCTCGTGGCGCGAATCTTTCTCGGCATACCTAAGTGGCTGTCCGCTGTACTACTACGCTCCATTGAAGAAGGCGCTGCGCAAGTATAACTTGCATGATATGGTCCCAGAGGTCCAAGACTCGGGACGGAGCTACCAGATTTCGAACTTTTTGAACCGACTGAGAGAACAAGCCATTGCAGAGAGCGACAGCAACAACAAGTTGTTCTCCCGAGCCAGTCGAAACGATACGTCTAGCTCAGCTAGGAGCAGCGGCATCCCCGAGTCCTCTCCATCAGCGTCGCCCATTTCAAGTAGAGATACGACTGGAACGATCCAGACTGATGCGACGTTGGATGCCATCGCGAGTATGTCGCTCCAGGAACTGCGAGCTGCTCACCACAAGAGCAAGGCTTTGTTCTTTGAAAAGTCCTCGAAGCACCAGCTCCAGATATCTCTTCCGCGTGTGAGGGCACCGAAAGACGACGCCGTGCCTCTGAAGTTAACGCCTAGTTGGCGTGCTGTAGAGGAAGATGAGAAGCATCGTCAGCCGATTGACGTTATGAGTGACTATGAATCGCGACTGGTCAAGAAAGAAGCGCTTCGTAACCCTCTGGCTGAAGCTGAGCCTGATGAGGATACTCCGACTGGACTGCGACGACGCCAACTATCCTTTAACCTGGGTAACCCGTACAAGAAGAGCACATCAAAAAGCAACGTGTACCAGAACGAAGCGGCAGATGAAGCAGCGGCACTAGGAGGCCAATCTCCGAAGCGCCAGCGTACACGCAAGCGGTCTTCTCAGCTGAAGCGAGACAAGAAACACTCCAAGCGCTCTCACCGAATGCATGGCTCCCCGTCCTTCAAGAAGTCGCCTGGGTCGCCTTCGCACTCTCCTAGCTCCCCTGTTTCCAGCACTTCATCGACAATTTCGTCGCCGGGGCGAAGTGAAAGTGGAGATTCAGTTATGACCGACAGCTCGATGGGGTCGAACTATTCTGTCAAGGCTGAGGCAGCGCAAATGCTGGGTATCCCACTCCACGATGGCGACTTTGTGGAGGATGAAAAGAACGCCAGCTTCGTCCGACAGGTCTACGGCGTCTTGGCAGAAAACTGGGAATCGTGGAGCACTATTATCCGTCTGATCAAGGCACGCTCGACGACGCAGCAGGTAGGATTCATCGAGTCTGCGTGTCGAGCTCTGTTCGCTCAATTCTTTTGCTGTGTTTCTTGTTCGTTACAGGAGAAGGAGTTTGTAGTGAGTGGTCTCCGGTCGATGAAGGGTGGTTCGACAGCAGTGAAGACGTACATCGAGCAAGCGATTTACTTATCGCAGCAATTCCGACAGAAGGCTCTGGAGCAGCAACTGAGACTATTACTGGATGAAGTAGCGAAGGCAGCAAAGGACAGACCAGAAGATTCCACTTCTGATGCCTCCAATGAGGAGGCGGTAGCGTAATTCGCCGCGTTGTATTGAATTCGAATTGGTGACCGTTTACTACGTGTGAGTTTTGGTGCCGTTTGATGTGTGTCTGCCAGATTCGCCTTGAATAGTCACGAAACGACAACACCGGAGGGGACGCAAACAGATTTAAGGTCAACGATTGCGGTGGGGAGTGCGGACTGAAGCTGTTGACCTCGGACAAAAAGCATAGGCATTGAAGGGCACTACGATGAGCAAGCGCAAGTCAAAGAAGGTCAGTCATCTACTTCCATTGCAGCTTTTCGATACGAGGAGGCTGACTGAGTTTCCCGTCATAGTCAGCGAACGCGGCGTCTCTCAACTTGGTACTCAAGACACTAGAGAAATATAATCAAGACGATATCAGCTCAATGCAGTCTGCGTTTGGATCGCTACTTGGAACTCTAGGAAAAGCGCCGTCTACAAAGATCTTGCCGCCGCAAGTCCAGCCGCTGAACTACTCGATTCACAATGGCGCCTTTAAGTCCGGCAAGCAAGCACCCAAGGCCAGCAAAAAAGCACCTACACTGTCTGCCCGAACGAAGAAGGCTGTGCCTGCCACCTTAACGGGAGCTGCACTAGCAGAGTGGCTGGACACTCAAGTTCCACGTGACTGTTTGGGGCACCCAGCAATTGTATCCTCGTACGCAGGATCATCCAATAATGCTGACCCGTATGCATGTATTGCGGGCACATTTCTACCATTGTGGTGTTTTCTAGACGTGGAAGAAGACGCTGGCGCGGCTGGTCAGCATCCAGAATTGGCAAAGCAGTTGCCTATGAAGGCAGTGGGGCTACCGCTGGACGATGCCACTGGCGTAGCAGGAAGCTGGTCCAGCTGTATGGTGACAGCGTTTGACATGTCTCTCGATCGCTTCATCGTCTCGTGGTCTGCAGGCAAGCGTGTGGGATCTCCAGTGATGCACCGTGGACTATTGTGTATGGAAAAGGAAGACTGCGAGGCCTTCGTACAGCGTATCCAGCGTGCCGTGCAGCGTCGAGAGCAAGCAGAAGCAGTTTTACGGCAATCGCTTTATGTAGAGAATATGCCGATCAGCTCGGATACCCAATTGGACTCGCAGACCATCAGCAACATTCTTCAGCTCACGTTATCATCGTCATCTGTGCCTACAGACATCGGCACGTCGGCATTGCTCGAGGAAGTGAACGCCGACTACATGCACACGATGAACAAACTGATCTTCGAAACCAACTTGAACGACATACAGAGTGAGTTTTCTGACCTCAAACTGCCCGAAGTACCAGCTCCACCGCCTCCGCCTCAATGCGGTGTTATCCCAGTTCCAGCGTATGATTACAATCGCAGATTTCTGGACATCGCAACAGACAAGTTTGTCAACTTTTCGTTTGCAGTGAACGCACTGCTGGATGTACGTCGCAGCTGCGTGGATGTGGGCACGCAGAAGCTCTTGTTGGAGCAGCAGCCCACCGAGATCAGCTTCGGTGGCGGTGCTCGACCACAACCCAAGAGTGTTTCGCTGGCAGAGTTTCATTCGTTGCACGCTCAAATGAGCCATACGGCGCTACGATTCATGCGGGATTCCTGGACTAGATTGGCGGCGAAGCGCATTCAGCAGCATTTCTCACAGGCCAAGCACCCACATTACAACCCAGCAGAGTCCAATCGGCAGAAATACGTGGAGATGCCACTTCGCCGCTTCCTGCATCGCGTGAACTACATGGTGGAAGATACGCTTCGCGTACTGATCCTGCAGAACTTTGAAGGTTATGCAGAGTTTGTTGAGGAAATGGCTGGTTACGTTGTGGAAGTTCGGGGGCCTAGCGATATTCGCGAACGTTTGTTGACAACGGAGCATGCAGATGAGCAAGAGTCTGACCCTCTCCATGAAGGTGCACATATGCACCAGCCACTTTTCCGAGTAGACTTGACAATCTCCCCAGAGAAACATGTTCTGAACCAGGAAGAAGTAGACAAGCGAGCTGCCGAGATCCGAGAATGGTCTTTAGCCAATATCCAGGATCGGTCAGCTCAGTGTCCTATCGAGCCTTTGATGCCTCGAGAAGGTCACCGGTTTGAGTACGCAACCAGTCCAGATGATTTCAAAGGCGCACTCGCTGGCCAATTCGATGTCGCCATCGATCGTTTGCAGTCGCTCGAGTTGGTGGAGAGACTTGTCATGGATAGAATTTTCTGGCCTAGTCAGGAGAGCATCGCGTGCTTACAGGACTGCGCGCAGTCGGCGATCAATCTTCAAGAGCATGTGGGAGCTATCGTTGAGCGAGCTGCTCAGCCGCTGCTCAAGTATCTTCTCCAGTTTGATCAGTACATCCCGCTGCTAAACTTGGACGTGGACGAGTATCTCAAGACGATCATCCGTGTACAACCGTATGAAGGAAAGGCTGAAGGAGAAGACGGAGAGCCTGCTCCTCTTCTTCCCCCCGTTGAACTAAGCGAGCTTCGGCGATTACTGACCTATCACAAGAACGAAGAGGAGAGTCTTCTGGAAATTATTCCATCTCGTGCGGTAAACCTTGGACTCTTTCAAGTGGACCTGACGAATATTCGCTTTACGCTGGCAAAGAAACATCGCGATTGTTTCGCTCGGTTACTGGAAGCACAAGTGGCGTACTGCTTTCAAGTAGCAGCTCGGATCATGGGCAAATTTGACGATATCAACCAGACTTTGTCATCATCACCGAAAGACATTGAGAGTTTGACTGCGCTGCAGGAATATATCACGGGACTGCCGGCTCTGCTGGCGCCGCTGCAGGAGGAAATCACTCAGATGATGCGCGACAATACTCTTATCGATGATTTCCACCACTACGTCAGCGACGAGCATCTGCGTCTTACTTGGCAAGTGCAGGGCTGGCCGTCCAAGGTGCTAGCTCAGAGTGCACGCTTTAAACATGCACTGGAGGAACGTAAGAGCAAGTTCGCGAAGCAAATGGAGTCCGAACAGGAGCGGTTTGAGAAGACTTTGGCAGCGTTGCAAGAAGAGATCAACACGTTCTCGCGTTACGACAATCTAGCATTCGTGGAAGATGTGGCACAACATGCCATGTCCGTCCAGCGGAAGCTAGAGCAAGCTCAGCAAGACGCCATGCTATTCAACAGCCGAGAGACGCTCTTTGGTCAAGAAGTGACTTCATATGACGGATTGGCGAGCGCTAAGAAGACGTTTGAGCCGTATCACCAGCTCTGGTCCACGTCCTATAACTGGATTCAAAGCCGGAAAACGTGGATCCAAGGAAGCTTCATCGACATCGATGCGGAGCAGGTGGAGAAGCTTGTGGATACGTATAGCACTGGAATCCAGAAGGCGTACAAGTTCTTCAGTAACAACGACAATGAGGCGTGCGCCAAGATCGCAGAGACTGTGAAGGAACAAATTTCCGTTTTTAAACCCTACGTACCACTGATTATGGCTCTGCGAAACCCTGGTATGCGGCTGCGTCACTGGGAAGAGCTGAGTAAAAGTCTCGGCTTTGCACTGGAGATCGACGAGAGCTTCACGCTAACCAACGTTTTTCAACTCAATTTACTGGAACGCATTGACGACATCGTGAAGGTTGCCGAAGCTGCTGGGAAGGAATACCAGGTCGAGCAAGCGCTGCGAACGATGAAGGGGGCGTGGGAAACTGTCGACCTTCAGATCATAGCGTATCGCGAGACTGGAACATACGTGATCAAGGGCGTCGATGAGATTCAGGCAATCTTGGACGAGCATGTCACGATGACACAGGCCATGATGTTTTCAACGTTTAAAGGACCTTTCGAGGAAGAGATTATCGAGTGGAACTCGACTCTTCAGCTCATCTCGGAGGTGTTGGAAGAGTGGTTAGCGGTGCAACGCAATTGGCTGTACTTGCAGCCCATCTTCGAGTCTCCCGATATCAACAAACAGCTCCCTGCTGAGGGTAAACGCTTCGCTTCGGTGGACAAGAACTGGCGTCAAACCTTAGCATCTGCTAAGGCCAAGCCGAAATGTGTCGAGTTCTGTCGAAGTCAGAAGCTGCTGGAGCGGTTCCGTGAGTCGAATCACTTTCTAGAGCTTGTACAGAAAGGTTTGAGTGACTATCTCGAAGTCAAGCGGTCGGCATTTGCGCGATTCTACTTCCTTTCCAACGATGAGCTGCTGTCCATCTTATCAGAGTCCAAGGATGTCAAGCTCGTCCAGCCGCACCTGAAGAAATGTTTCGAAGGTATTGTCCAGGTCACTTTCGAAGACGATCTGAATATTAGTGCGATGATTTCAGCTGAAGGGGAAAAGGTGCCGTTCTCGAGCATGGTAGATCCCAAGGGCAAGAACGTGGAGCACTGGATGATGGAAGTCGAAGACATGATGAAGTTATCCATCCGCGACATTATGGAGCGTGCTATCGCCAACTACACACAAATCGATCGGCCGCTTTGGATCCAAAAGTGGCCCGGAATGTGTGTACTAAACGGCAGTCAGATGCACTGGACGCGTGAAATGGAAGAGGCGATGGACGCTGACGGACGTGACGGTGTGCAAAGGATGATGACGCGACAGCTCGGCCAACTCGCTGACATGGTCACTCTTGTGCGTGGAAATCTGGATAGTATGGCTCGTATCACGTGTGGAGCGCTGACTGTTATTGATGTGCACGCTCGAGATGTGACGCGCAAATTGGTCGCACAAAACGTGGAATCGAAGGGCGATTTCCTGTGGAGTTCTCAGCTAAAATACTACTGGGCTGACAAGAACCTGTGGGTTCAGGCCGTGACTTCACGCCGACCGTACGGCTACGAGTATTTGGGCAACTCATTCCGACTGGTGATCACGCCCCTGACAGATAAATGCTATCTGACTCTAATGGGTGCGCTTCAAATGATTCTCGGTGGAGCTCCTGCTGGGCCTGCTGGTACCGGAAAGACCGAAACGACGAAAGATTTAGCCAAGGCACTGGCCAAACAGTGTGTTGTGTTCAACTGCTCCGATGGGTTGGACTACATCGCCATGGGTAAATTCTTTAAGGGACTGGCATCTTGTGGAGCCTGGGCTTGTTTCGATGAGTTTAATCGTATTGATATCGAGGTGCTGTCTGTCGTTGGACAGCAAGTGGTTACTTTACAGCTGGGTATTCGTCGTGGTGACACTCGAATCATCTTTGAGGGCTCTGCTATCAAGCTTAGCGATCAGTTCGGCGTCTTCATCACCATGAATCCGGGCTATGCTGGACGAAGTGAACTGCCTGACTCTCTTGCCGCTCTCTTCCGACCTGTTGCTATGATGGTGCCCGATTACGCGCTTATTGGTGAGATTATGTTCTTCGCCTACGGCTTCTCGGATGCCCGTGCACTAGGCGCAAAGATGGTTACGACGTTCAAATTGTGCTCGGAGCAGCTTTCGTCCCAGTTCCACTACGATTACGGAATGCGTGCTGTCAAGACTGTCATCACGGCTGCTGGTAACCTCAAACGTGACGATCCTGATATGGACGAGGACGTGTTGCTGCTGCGTGCGCTTCAAGACGTTAATCTCCCCAAGTTTCTTGCTGATGATATCCCGCTGTTTAATGGTATCATTAGCGATTTATTCCCGGGGAAATGCCGTCCGAACTTGGATCTCGGAGCGCTGATCAGTGTCATCAAACTGCAGACCCACCGTTTGAATTTACAGCCTGTGCCGTACTTCCTCACGAAATGCATTCAGCTGTACGAGACGATCGTCGTGCGCCACGGACTTATGGTCGTTGGAGCTACAGGAGGAGGTAAATCTTGCAACATTGCAGTACTCGCTGACGCACTCACAGAACTCAAGCGACGCGGTGAGTCTGGGTTTGCATTCGAGAGAGTTGTCAAGTACCAGCTCAACCCGAAGTCGATTACGATGGGACAGCTCTATGGTGAGTTTGATCCTAACACTCACGAGTGGCAGGATGGTATTTTGTCGACGCTTTACCGCGCAGCTGCAAGTGACACAAAGCCCGATCGCAAGTGGGTCATCTTTGATGGACCCGTGGACGCCATCTGGATTGAGAATATGAACACGGTGCTTGACGACAATAAAAAGTTGTGTCTCAATAGTGGCGAAATGCTGCAGATGTCGAAGCAGATGACGATGATGTTTGAGGTGGAGGATCTATCGGTGGCTTCACCGGCCACTGTGAGTCGTACGGGTATGGTTTACATGGAGCCCAGCACACTTGGTCTTGGGCCTCTTGTGGACTCGTGGGTAGAGCATTTGCCAAAGTCCGTGGCACAGTTCGGACACATCTTCATGAGACTCTTTGACGTGTACTTGTACGCTTCAGTGACGTTTATTCGCTCTTTTCTGGGCGAGCTCGTGCCCACTATGGACAACAATCTAGCGCAGAGTCTCATGAATATCCTGGACTGCACTCTAGATCCGTTCCGTGAAAAACTGACGGACGGTACTGGCGAACCCCAGCCAGCATCCAAAACACCCAACGCTCAGTTCAAGGACGACATTGAACCACTCTTCATCTTCGCTCTGATCTGGTCTGTAGGAGCCTCTACAAACGATGCTGGCCGAATTCGGTTTGACAGTTTTCTGCGGAGCGAATTGGTCGCCAATAACAGCAAACCTCCACTGCCTCCCACTGGGCTGGTGTACGACTACTGCTACCAGCTATCCAGTCACAAATGGATGCCTTGGATGAGCACAGTCAGTCCGTACAAGGTTCCTGCTGACTCATCTTTCGCTGAAATCGTTGTGCCTACAGCGGATTCCGTGCGCAATAACTTTTTACTCGAAGAGCTGATGAGTGCAGGGAAGCACGTGCTCATGGTCGGTGGGACAGGAACCGGTAAAACTGTGAACATCACGCGATATCTGCAGTCGCTGCCTGCTGACGTGTACATACCCATTCCGATCTCTTTTTCGGCTCAAACGTCTGCCAACCAGACTCAAGATATGCTGGATGCCAAGATGGAGAAGCGTCGGAAGGGTGTCTATGGGCCTCCAGCGGGGAAGAAGTACATCATTTACGTGGACGATTTGAATATGCCCAAGCGCGAAAAATACTTTGCGCAACCTCCGTTGGAGTTGGTGCGTCAGTGGTTTGATCAAGGTGGTTGGTACGACCGCAAGTTACTTGTGTTCCGTAGCATCATCGACATTCTCTTTGTGTCCTCCATGGGCCCTCCTGGTGGTGGACGTAATCCAATTACCCCGCGCTTGGTACGCCACTTCAATGTCGTGGGCTATGCTGAGCTCGGCGATGACAGCAAAACTATCATTTTCAGTACGATTTTAGGCAACTTTTTGGGCTCAGGTTTCCCAGCAGACATTGCTCGACTTACGGACAATGTCGTCAAGGCTTCTATTAGCGTTTACAATACCATCTGCCGCGAGTTACTCCCAACGCCAGCCAAATCGCACTATACATTCAACCTGCGTGATCTCGCAAAAGTGTTCCAGGGCGTACTCATGGGTGATAATCGTCGCATCTCGGAGGCAGACTCGCTGATTCGCTTGTGGGTGCATGAGTGTAAACGAGTCTACGAAGACCGAATGATATCAGCGCAGGACCACGAATGGTTCCGCGAACTCATGCACTCGTCAGTTAAGGATTTTTACCAGCGCGAGTACGACCAAGTAGTGACTAATGAACACTTGATCTACGGCGATTATTTGGTCCCCGGTGCGGATCCAAAGATCTATGAGGAAGTTGTCGATGTACACAAAGTCCTGAACATCATGGACGAATATCTGCTCGACTACAACGCGGAGAGCAAGTCACCGATGTCTCTTGTTTTGTTCATGGACGCGGTGGAGCATGTGTCCCGTATCTCTCGCATCATTCGACAGCCTATGGGCAATGCTCTGCTCCTCGGTGTTGGTGGAAGTGGTCGGCAGAGTCTTACGAAGTTAGCTACCTTCATGGCTGGATACAAGTGCTTCCAAGTGGAAATTGTAAAAGGGTACGGTCTAACAGAGTGGCGAGACGATGTTAAGAAGTGTCTGCTGCTTGCAGGTGTCAAGGATACGCCAGTTGTATTTCTCTTCTCGGACGTGCAAGTGGTTAACGAGACGATGCTCGAAGATCTCAACGGCGTCTTAAATGCTGGTAATGTGCCGAACTTATACGGCCCTGAAGATCTGGACCAAATTGTGACGGCCTGCCGAGTTGATTGCCAAAAGCGCCAGCTTCCACCTACGAAGACCAACATTTTCCAGCAGTACATCAACCGAGTGCGACGTAACATTCACCTGGTAATCTGCATGAGCCCATTGGGTGGATTGTTCCGAGATCGGTTGCGAATGTTCCCCTCGCTGGTGAATTGTTCAACCATCGACTGGTTCAGCGAGTGGCCTGCAGAGGCGCTGAACTCGGTGGCTTCGGCAATTCTGAGTGACGGTAACTTAGCGCTTGGCAATAAACTTCCTGCGCTCGTGGAAGCTTTTAAGATTGTGCATCAAAGCGTGGAAGAAGCCTCCAAGCAGTTTTACAACACCCTGCGAAGATATTTCTACGTGACTCCGACGAGTTACTTGGAGTTGTTGTCCGCCTTCAAGTCTGTTCTAGTTGCGAAGCGTGAGGAGGTGAATATGATGCGCAGTCGCTTTGCAAAATGGAGTGGACAAACTGTCCGAAACCAAGGCAATTGTTGCAACTATGCAGGGCCGAACTCGTGGAGCTCCAGCCTGTGCTGGCCTGCGACTCAACTGGAGGTGGAACAAATGATGGTTCAGATTGCGAAAGACAGTGCAGAAGCAGATGTCACGAAAGCTACAGTCGAGAAGGAGGAGGCAGCAGCTAGTATCAAGGCCAGTGCGACAAAGGAGATCGCAGACTCTGCCCAACGAGACCTCGATGCCGCTCTTCCTGCTCTAGAGTCCGCTCTTGAGTGTTTGAATCGACTGAAAAAGGCTGATATTGATGAGGTCAAGGCGATGAAGACTCCACCTGCTGGTGTCAAGTTGACGATGGAAGTGGTGTGTATTCTCTTTGGTCAGAAGCCTGTGACTAAACCAGATCCGGATCGTCCGGGCAAGAAGATTAACGATTACTGGGAAGTAGCGCAGAAGGTGGTGCTTTCGAACGCGAATAAATTCTTGGAGAACTTATTAGGCTTCGACAAGGATAACATTCCGGATGCCATCACCACCAAGGTCGCCCCCAGTATGGAAGATCCAAACTTTACACCAGAGGCTATCGAGAAGTCCTCAAAAGCCTGTACCGCAATCTGTATGTGGGCTCGTGCAATGTACACGTATCACTTCGTGGCTAAGGCGGTGGAGCCGAAGAAGCAAGCGCTTGCACAGGCACAAAAAGAACTAGACGAGACGCTCGCAGTGTTGAGAAGTGCACAAGGTAATCTACAACAAGTGAGCGATCGTCTTGCCGAGCTGGAACAGTCCTACAACGGCGCCGTGGCCAAGAAAGAAGAGCTAGCACGCAAAGTGGTGCAATGTCAAGTTCAGCTTCAGAACGCTGAGCGATTGATTGGTGGACTGGGTGGCGAAGAAGCTCGTTGGAAGGAGACCGTAGCACAGCTCACACTTGACTACTCGAACCTCACAGGAGACGTGCTAGTATCTGCTGGTACAATTAGTTACCTCGGGGCGTTTACTGCGGAATTCCGTGGACAGCTCGTGGCTTCATGGCACGAAGCTTTAGTGAAGCACAAAGTGCCTCACTCTCCTGGATGCGATTTGATCCGAACGTTGCAAGATCCCGTCAAACTACGTGCCTGGCAGATCGCTGGACTGCCGACTGACACGGTTTCAACACAAAATGGGATCATTATGGGACGTGCACGGAGATGGCCGTTGCTGATCGACCCACAAGGCCAAGCTAATCGCTTCATCAAAAACCTTGGACGTGACAAGAAACTTTGTGAAAATGGGATGGATGTGGTGAAACAGTCGGATCGAGGATTCCTGCGCGCCTTAGAGAACGGTTTACGCTTCGGCAAGTGGGTGTTGCTTGAGAATGTAGGTGAGGAGCTCGATGCAGCGTTGGAGCCAGTGTTATTGCAGCAGAAATTTAAGCAAGGAGGTCAGGACATGATTCGTCTGGGCGAGAATGCCATTCCCTACAACGACACCTTTCGCTTCTTCCTCACAACGAAACTGGCAAACCCACACTACGCCCCAGAGGTCTGTGTGAAAGTAAGTTTGTTGAACTTCACGATCACGATGAAAGGCCTGGAAGAGCAGCTTTTGGGTGTGGTGGTGCTGAAGGAGTTACCAGAACTGGCAGCCAAGAAGAACGAACTCGTGCTGTCGAATGCAGAAGGGAAGCGACAACTGTATGAGATTGAGAACCAGATCCTGTATCTATTGTCTCACTCAGAAGGAAACATTTTGGACGATACCAACCTCATCGAGACGCTGGCGTCTGCGAAGGAGACCTCGGCGGTTGTGATGGCTAAGATGCGTGAAGCTGAAGAGACCGAGCGAGAGATTGATGCGCGTAGTGATGGCTACCGTCCCGCGGCGTTCCGTGCTGCACTTCTGTTCTTCTGTATCGCTGATCTCGCTCTGGTGGATCCAATGTACCAGTATTCTTTGACGTGGCATACTGGCCTGTTCATTCGTGGTATCCAGGCGGCAAAGCCCTCAGCTCAACTGGAGACTCGACTCACAAACTTAAACGACTATTTCACGTACTCAGTCTACAAGAACATCTGTCGTTCTCTCTTTGAGAAGCACAAACTGCTTTTCTCGTTGCTGTTGACCATCAAGATCATGCAGGGCAACAACGAAGTGGATGCAGGCGAGTGGCGCTTCTTGCTTTCAGGAATTGGCTCCAGCCCACCTGTCGAGGCGGAAAACCCAGCTGCTCGATGGCTCGAAGCGTATGCATGGCAACAAATCTGTGCACTCGCCAGCTTCCCTGCGTTCAAAGGCGTTGAGACTGAGTTCGCAACCCATGTAGCAGTTTTTCGCTCGATTTTCGACTCCACAGATCCCGAAAACCAGCCCTTACCTGGAAAACTGTTGTCCAAACTGGATGAATTCCAGCGACTGTGTATACTACGCGTCCTGCGACCGGACAAGATGATGCCTGGCATCCAGAACTTAGTGTGCGCCAAGTTGGGCAAGGAATTCATCGAGCCTCCGCCGTTTGACCTCGCAAACACGTTCGAAGATGCCAGTCCGACAACGCCGTTGATCTTTGTGTTGTCTCAAGGTTCGGATCCAGCAAAGGATCTGCATGGGTTCGCCGTAAGCACAGGCATGGAGAGTAAGCTCAAGTCGATTGCGCTGGGCCAAGGTCAAGGCACTTTAGCTGCGAGACTTATTGAAGGTGCAACGACAAGGGGCGAGTGGGTCCTGCTACAGAATTGTCACTTGGCTCTGAGCTGGATGCCCGAGTTGGAGAGGATATGTGAGGAGCTGGATCCCACTAAGCTACATGAGAATTTCCGTCTGTGGCTCACAAGTATGCCGACCCCAGCGTTCCCTGCGTCGGTGCTACAAGACGGTGTGAAGATGACGAAAGAAGCGCCGAAAGGTCTGCGTGCGAACCTCAAAAACACGTACTACAAGCTGGACGAGACGCGACTCGGCGCAACGCGAAAGCCCGACGTCTTCCGCAAGCTGCTGTTTGGGCTGTGCTTTTATCACGCTATTGTGTGCGAGCGGAAGCGCTTTGGAGCACTCGGCTGGAACATCCCGTACCAGTTTAACGAGACGGACTTGGACATCAGTGTGGCACAACTCGAGATGTTCCTGGACACGTACGACCACGTGCCATTCGACGTGCTGCAGGTCATGACTTCTACTATCAATTACGGTGGACGGATTACAGACGACAAGGATATGCGGACGTCCGACGTCATTCTCATGACGTTCTTCAAAGAAGCGATACTACAGAAGGGATACACATTCTCAAAGAGTGGGATCTACTACTCGCTTGACTGTGATCCGAGGAATGCGTACGAGGAATACGTGAACTACATCAACTCGCTGCCAATCAACCCGGAACCCGAAGTCTTCGGCATGCACGAGAATGCCAACATCACCAGTGCTCAAGCTGAGACGTACGAAGCTTTCGACCTGTTACTGTCGTTGCAGCCACGAGTAAGCTCCGGAGGTGGTAAGAGCCGGGAAGAGATTATTGCAGACGCTGCCCAAGCGATAGCATCTCAGCTGCCACCTCAGTACGATTTAGAGCATGTTCAAGCGGCATACCCAGTCTCCTATGATGAGTCCATGAACACAGTATTAGCACAAGAGGTAGAACGCTTCAATAAGCTTCTGGCTGTTATGAGGAACACACTACACCTCGTGCAACAAGGGCTCAAGGGTCTTGTAGTCATGTCTGCTGAGCTGGAAGCGATGGGAGCATCGCTGTATGACCAGAAGGTTCCTGCTGTATGGGAAGCGAAAGCGTATCCGTCGCTTAAACCGCTAGGTGCCTGGGTGAAGGATCTGCTTGAACGCTTGACTTTCATTTCGAACTGGATCGCGCACGGCATCCCAGCCGTGTTTTGGATATCGGGCTTCTTCTTCCCGCAAGGTTTCATGACTGGCACGATCCAGAACCACGCTCGACGATACAAGCTTCCTATCGACTCATTATCCTTCCAGTTCATTATGAAGCCCGAGAGTGTTGAGCAACTTACAGCAAGGCCCGTGGACGGTTGCTACACGTACGGTTTGTTCTTGGAAGGAGCTCGTTGGAATCCGGAGACTAAGGCGCTTGACGACCCGTTACCACGTGAATTATTCGCCAAGATGCCTGTCATCCATCTGCTTCCTCAACCAAATCGGGAGGCTCCACAACGAGGAATATATCGGTGTCCGGTTTACAAGATTCTTACACGAACAGGTACGTTGTCGACAACAGGCCACTCCACCAACTTCGTCATGTGGCTGGAGATTCCAGCCAATAAACCCACGATCTTCCGCAACTCGCTCGTGTCTGAGACCAATTCACAAGTGCTTTTTGCCGACCAAGAGTACTGGATCAAGGCAGGAGTCGCTTGTTTCTGTAGCCTCCGCTACTAAGCAAGAGAGGGACGTTGAAGAACTTACATATTTTTTTTCTTCTTATGCGGTCGAGTCGGCTGACTTGCATTTGGCTTGGCTTACTTTCACATAAATAAATGCACGGTACTGTGAATCTGGTGTATCAGATGCTGCTGCAGCTAGAGGAGATACGATACGAAGCGGATCCAGGGCGACACCTGGTCCATCTGGTCCATGTGCATCGAGATCCGCTGGATCATGAGCGATAGTCCGTTGCAGACACGATCCATCGCGTCGAACATGACCATGGCAGACGCTGCGGGTGGCGCCGTTGCTGGCTGCGGATTGCAAGCTGTAGCTAGCAGTATCAGCAGCAAAAGAACAGCCAATACAAATCCCGGCGGATCCGTTATTGACGCCGCGCACACGTAGACGAAGGACGAGAAGGTACGCAGATTTGGTCGACGTCTAAAAGCGGACGCTGCAGTGTTGGTGGTAAGTGCCGTTCCACTTGAACGCGGTGACGGCGGCAATGTCACGTGTGAACACTGCTTGGCTGGAGTGGCAGCGCTTTGTGTTTCTGCAGGGTACAGCGACGCAATGAGCTCCTTCAGCAGCAGGTTCACGTGAAGCTCCGGGATATCAGTTTGCTGCCGGCACAACGGACATAAGTGCGCTGCTGCTGGTGCTCGAGCTCCTGCAGCAGCATGCGCCCGGGAAGAAGAGTGCGAGGCTTCATGTGCCCAGGCTATCAATATACAGCCGCGGTCGAAGTTATGCCTATAGCCACATAAGAATGAACCTGGAGGCACCAGTTGCACCCAATTTGCTGACGTACCCGCAGGGCAGTGTGACTGGAAAGCTCAAGATCTCGAAGCAGATGGAGCAAAGCAGATCTTCGTGGGCTACACAGGGACAGAGCGACAGAGAAGGATGACGGCGACGAGCAGCATCGGCAATCGCGAGCTGTAGAGGCCGCGGCAGGCGCTTGACGGCGATCATGGTGAAGGTCTGATAATCCTGCACTGCGGGCCGACGACCGTTACATGGAGAAGTGCCCTGAGTTTTAGCCAATCACATTGTGCAAAACGTTGTTGAAGTCGGATGGCAATAAGCGACATTAGCCGTAAATAACCGTGATTTACTACTTTAAAGTACATTTAAGCTCCATTTTTGACGTTCCTTACAAATACTAAGTATACAAGTCTTTTTATGAATAAAACAAATGATGTAAATGCATGGGTTGCGCGCTGAAAGCTTTGGCAACGGTTAGCTCAAGAAGGCATCGTTGTTGCCGCAGCATGAGGTGTAGTCCAGAGTGATGAACCCCAACAACCCAAGTACCATGTACATACGTATGAGTTTGGATATTGTGACAGTTGGCAAGTTCATCCTCCGCGAAAGATTAAGATCTATAGTGGTACGATACCGATACCATCAATGAGTTATTGTTGCAGCGACGGAAGCGAACTCGCGGTCCGAGTCGCGGACTGGCACGCAGAATTTGCACCGGGTCTGAAACTTGGGCACCTTGTTTGCAGAGCGATCTTCCTGAAGAATTGCAGTAGTTGGATTTTCACGGGCCTTGTAACGCGGCTAGCTGTGCCGCCACCAGGCATACGAGTAATAGATCGACTCGAATAAGCAGAATAGCACCGCAGATCTGACAGCTAGGGGTTGCAGAGGAGGCGTTGCAGCCCCGATAATGTGCTGAGTGTCCAGAGCTCTAAGAAAGAAAAGTGAGCTACAGTATGATCGCGGACAACATACGAGTGATAGGTCGACTCGAATGAGCAGAAAAATTCCGCAGATCTTACAGCTAAGGGCAGCAGAGGAGGCATTGCAGCCCCGAAAGTGTGCTGAGTGTCCAGAACTCTCATGAAAGAAAAATGAGCTAACAGTAAAGATTGCGGACAATCGTGTGGGAAGAACATTTCGGTTGCATAGTGTCAGCAGCTTCAACTTCCGTGTCCCGAATCAGCGGCACTTTGCCAGAAGCTCTGGCGAAGTGGTCCAGAGCCAACGCATAGTTTGCATTGCGTCGCATACGCGACTAAATCTAAAGCTTTTAAGAGGCTCTTACTTAGAGCTTCTCGCCGCGCGCACGCCACCCTTGGTCGTGCCTACGAGCCTTGAACTTCCTTCGAAAGCGCAGGTGAGCGAGAACGTTGATCCCATTTAACACCAATATAATTGGTCAAAACTTGCTATCCTACTCGTGCTCCGATTGGCCACTGGCCACATCCTAAGGCTGTCTGATTCTCTCGATTCCCCCGATCTTCCTTACAAAATCCAAGTGAAAAACCGCTTCAACCGCCCGCATCTTTCTCTCACAAAGCTTTCCGCCAAGAAGAACAACCGACCATCACTCCCGGCAGCAATAGAAGCATGCGCATCGCTTCCACGTCTCTCCTGCTAGCCAGCTTGGCACTGGCGGACGCCCTCAAGACGCCGCTTGAGTATGAGCATGAGTTCTCGGCCTGGATGAAGACGCACTCCGTCTCGTTCTCGGACGCGCTCGAATTCGCTAAGCGTCTGGAGAACTACATCGCCAACGACATGTACATCATGGAACACAACCTCGAGAACGCCTGGACAGGCGTGAAGCTGGACCACAACGAGTTCTCCAGCATGTCGTTCGAAGAGTTCAAGTTCAAAATGACGGGCTACGTCATGCCCGAGGGCTACTTGGAGCAGCGTCTGGCCTCCCGAGTGGACAATCTCTGGAGCGACGTGCAGGTGCCTGACTCAGTGGACTGGCAAGACAAGGGAGGCGTGACCCCCGTCAAGAACCAGGGAATGTGTGGCTCGTGCTGGGCCTTCTCCACTACGGGTGCTGTAGAGGGTGCGGCCTTCGTCTCGAGCGGGAAGCTGGTCAGTCTCTCGGAGCAGGAGCTGGTGGACTGCGACCATAATGGAGACATGGGCTGTAACGGAGGTCTCATGGACCACGCCTTTGCGTGGATTGAGGACAATGGAGGTATCTGTAGCGAGGATGACTACGAGTACAAGGCCAAGGCTCAAGTCTGCCGCGATTGCGAGAAAGTTGTCAAGATCTCGGGTTTTCAGGACGTCAACCCGCAGGATGAACACGCACTCAAGGTGGCGGTCGCTCAGCAGCCAGTTTCGGTGGCTATTGAGGCAGACCAGAAGGCGTTCCAGTTCTACAAGTCTGGAGTCTTCAATCTCACATGCGGCACGAGACTGGACCATGGTGTGCTAGCTGTGGGCTATGGCTCGGAAAATGGACAGAAATTTTGGAAGGTTAAGAACTCGTGGGGATCCTCATGGGGTGAGAAGGGGTACATCCGTCTTGCACGTGAGGAGAACGGACCTGCTGGACAGTGCGGCATCGCCTCGGTGCCTAGTTACCCGTTCGCGACGTTGATTAAAAAGGACGAAGAAACGGAGACCCAGAAGATTGTTGAGGAGCCGCGATCGGTCCCTGCTGCAAACGCCGTGGAGTCGTTCCCTGCCGAAGAAGCACGCGACTTCCGTCCCGTGAACTTGGCTGATCTGTTCTCCTCCGCGAAGATTAAACAGTGTGGTGATGTTGGCAGCGCGATCATTGACTTCTCCGACCTGGAAGTCACCCCGTCGTCCCCTCAACGCGGCCAGCCGGTTTCATTTTTCGGCAATGGGAACGCGAAGAAGGATTTCGACTCGGCGAACTTCAAGCTGGGCGTCAAGCTGGCCGGCACGCAGGTGTTCGGACACTCGGGTAAGCTGTGCGGCGACACCCACATCCCTCTTCCGCTGGGCTTGGGCCACATCGATGTGCACGGCTTCGCGTGCCCCATGAAAAAGGGCAAATCTTCGGACCTGAAGGTGGACGTGAACCTCCCAATCATTGCGCCTGCTGGCAACTACGAGATCCAGCTGACGAGCGATGACGACAGTAACAGCTCCTTGTTCTGCGTGAATGTTGAGCTTGACCTGACGGGTGGCGAAACCGCGAAGAAGACCCACGTGTACGAACCCATTTCGTACATGTAAACCTGGCCGTCCGTGCCCCGAACTGTATTTGAAAAAGCTTAACGAAGCGATAAGGCACATTTTAACCGAAGTGTAGGTGTTATTTTTAACAAAAAAAAATGATTCATTCTATGGCTCGTACGTGAGGAAAATAATCCGCCTTCAAATAAATTTTTGTGCAGGGCTCTGCTTCGGGTAGCTGTCATTAAATCTACTTCAAAAAAGTAAAAATGCCAAGCCCTCGTGAATTTTTACTTTTTTTGAAGTAGTAAATGTTTTTTATTAAAGCGGGATTAGTTGGACCCAAGTTCAATACCGTACTATACTTCTACCCTTTATGTGTACTACTACCATAAGTATGCTACTAGCCGAGTGCCGCCGCTACGCGGCGGTAGTTTAGGTTATGTTTGTCTCCTTGCTCCGCTTCGCTTCGGCGGGATAATTATTCCGAAAATTCTGAGCCCCCATGTGCCTAAATCGACTTCTTTAAATATAATAAATCTGGGTTTCATTTAGACCAGTCGCTACAAAATGTTGAGTTCCTAGTAAGCCGTGCAATTATTTTACAAAAGACTGAGCCCGTAGCATCGTACTTACGATGCTTAAAAAAGGTAACTCTAGAGATCTTGACAAAGTCTCTTTATTATTGTTAGCTTTCACTGTACCTTCATCTTCCACCTAGAATCACCTGCACTTCAAATAGCACTTCTACAAACGCTTCACAATATATTTAGTTTAGCGTCGTGCTCGATTTCATGGGCCGTTTCTGAAACTTAGCTCGAATCAGTGCAAAGGATAGAAATGGCCAGCACTATATACCGGAATTAACGGTATTTTTGCAACCGATCAATTTTTGCAACCAGTGGCCCGTAAAAAGTCTGCAGCACAAACAAAATTAACCAGTTTGGCATCAAATCAGTGTCCCAGTTAAAGCGCGCTATTGCTTAAAATATTGTGAGCAAAGCGACGGTTTCAAATGGACAGGAGTATCTTGTGCGAGATTTGACGCCTTCCGCCGTTCTTACGGTTTTGACTTGAAAGGTACTTTTTACACGGATGCAGAAAATACGTAAATTCCGGTACCCGCTTGTACTGCTTGCAATTAAGATTAACCCTTTCGTTTCCATAAAAATACATAGAGTATGATTTAGCAAAAGTGGGTGGGTCTCTTAAATTATCCGTCCTGGTTTTGTCAAATAGACTAATCGTTTATTGTATTAAATAACGTATTACACCGTATTTTGATATATGAAATTCTCTGAGACGGTGGCAACCCAACTGTCGCAAGCACCAATATCTACCACTTAGAACGCAAGCGTAGTCTAAATTTCACCTCAAATTTTATTGTGTCTCTTACGTTACGGTGTTGTGTGGCACACCGAAGAATGCACTCGAAGCCCTCGACGAGGGGGGAGGGATACATACTAGCGGAAGCGCTCTATAGTGATTTCAGCAAAGAAAATCATTTGTTGGCGTCTAACATCTAAAAGATAGGGTAAAGATTCCCCGAGGCTGCCCTCATTACGGAACCGAGACCGAGACGTCGATGGATGGAATCACTGACTGAGGATACCGACATACGGGTCGACGATCACGTAGCGGTGGCACGTGCACCCGCGGATAGGGCGAGTACTGCGACCCAGGCGATGAATACGAGTGCGTTGTCGGTTCCGGAGGGGCAGCAACAGACGAACGAGGTGCTTTTTGTCCATGACCCGCCGGAGATGACGACCGTCAACACCACCGTCGTCGACAGCAAGCTGGGACTCACGATAACAACAATCGACGGCCACACCATACGACGGAGGTGGCCATGGCGCCAACCTTGGACGGCAAGACGGATCTAGAGGCGTACGGCATTTAAATCTATGTGACGACGACATAAGATGCTAATGTCACAGTGAAATCAAGAAGAACAAGATCAAAGTCGATGGAAGCGTCGTGCAATGTGTGAATATACTGCGTATGGCAGTAAATGCAGGAATCCAACCCAAACGGAAGATTACTGCGAAAAGCACAACGTTACTTTGTGCGAAAGCACCTACTCACTCGATACATCCAGCCACATCTTTGTCAAGAAGCGTCATGGTCATGCTGGCAGAAGTACCATGGATATTATCTGCCTAATCTGGTCTACAATCTCGAAGGTCATCTCATGCGAAGCTCTTCGATATACAAAATGCAGGCACCTTTCCTCCGATCAAAGGCAAGCAAGAGGACTGCGCGTTAGGCTCACGTGGCTCACGTGACCGCTGGTCACTAGTTCCGGTGTCGCATCGGTACAGCAATTTGATTATATGAGAAAAAATGAGAAGTGGATTTATAGATACTTGGTTGGTGCAGATTTTTGTAAGCGAAACTACCCACACTACACTGCAAGCTTGAGGACAAACCACGCTTCGGTAGCTCTCAACGTGAAGATATTATTGCGTCAGATGTCCATATGGCCGGTTGCGAGTCATCGTGAACTGCATTTTCTCCCAGACCATCGGCGAGGTGCAAGTGGCTGCTGGTGGGACGAATTTGCATTAGTCAAGGTGGCCAACGACTAGCAAAGAGGCTACATCCTCTCGCACTGTTCCGTGCCTGCCGACAAGATGAATTGGCGTTTGACGAGCAGCGTGTGTAGCAATCGCTGCAGGTCCAACACAATGGACATCAGTCGGAAATTCGCAGTCTAATCACCAGCCACACCGTGTACAAACCGTCGTAGTAGCTACCGCGCATGATTGTTGTTGCCGCTGACGCTTCGTGTTCACATCGGTTAGGGAATGCAGCGGCCAGTGTAGCAACGGTATCGCTCCAAACGGGCAGCATGTATGACTGACGTTCGGCGCCCATGTAGCGTTAGCATCGTACAGCGTGCGGACCGGCGTGGCGACAGCGACTTGCCGGCGTTAGCAACTTATGTGTGGACCAGCGTGACGACAGCATGGGAATCGAGCAGCATTTCCACCAGAGATTTTGGTGGTGTCAGGCAGCGTGCAATGGTAGTGACATCGGTCAGTGTCAGGCGGCGGGTGGGTTAGCAGAGATGGGTGGGGGCAGTCGGTATGAACCCGAGTGTTCACAAGAAAGGAAATTGCGGAATGAGACTCGTTGGGGCTTGGCGCGCGCTCGACGCCCCCGCACGCGAGTTTGAATCGTTGACCCTCCAAAGCGGGCCAAAACATTGCGAGCTTCAATGTTGAAGTCACGTTTTCGCCGATGTCCTCGGTTTGACCTATCAAATAGCATTCCGATGATTCTAGCAGTCTGATTGGCTAGCAAAGTGGTCTTTAATATACGCGTATGGCTACCTATTTCGATTATGGGTAGTACCTATTTTTGCTATGAGGACCAATTACCTTGCAGTAGTTATACCCGACAGCGTATGCTCCTTTGTCGGGTCCGTTTTGACGTAGAAAAGCGTACCTGAGGAAATGTAAGCCAGTAGTTATGTGGCTATGCGCTTCAAGACCACATCCTCAAAAAAGGTAATCCTAACTTTGATCCTGGAGGTAGTAGTTAGATCTCTACCACAGCATGTCGTTCGCCAATTTGTGTAGTATTATGCTCTGGGTTTTACAATGACATCTCCAGTTATCTTTTTAGGTACGTTTTGGTTGGAATTGGCTATTGCTATTTTTCGTACAATGATCTTTCGAACGGTCTGATTGGTCGGAATCACGTTCGGCACTGTTTAATTTCCAAAAAAAATGCGTTATGCAGAGTATCGTGAACGCATAAAAAGACGCCAAGGACAGTAAACAACGCCACGTGGTGCAGGCACCATCAGCTACAAGACACAAGCGTTTGCTGGTGGCGCAGCAACACACATGGTGCGCCGTTGTCGTCATCATGACGTCCCCCTTGGTGTCGATCATCAACCTGTCGATGACCGCCATCTCGGGGCCGGACTGGGCAAGGAATACGAGTGTGGCGGCGGCTCCTCTGATATCGCCGCCACACTCGTATTCTTCGCCCAGTTCGAAATCATCGCCTCTTCCACGATGCGTGCACCGCTATGTGGTCGCCGAGGCGTACGTCGGTAGTCGTTGTAGGAGGCAAGTGTGCGACCCGATTTTGGAAGGCAGGCCCTCACATTCGTAGTGCTGAGCGTTGATTCCTCAGTTGCAGAAGTCAAGTAGCAAGTAGGTACCCTGTATGGCGAAGTGGAAATGCACCGGCGTTGTGGGAACAATCTGAGTAGAGCGGTGATCTGTGTGGTGCTGTGTTACCACGCGCTCTGGTATAGTAAATATCGTTTTGAGTGTTGAAACTATTGTCCTGTGTGCTGCTCTGGATCGATCATACGACAATTTGACTATCATACTCTGCCCTCATGTCACTGTATATGAACCAAATTGTTTATTTTTATTATTATTCGAGCCACAGCTCGTACAGGTTGCCTTTGCCTCATTCAGTTTAGGTATTTATGCAAATAATACCGTTCTTTCTCATCCCATTTCTCTAGCCAATGGTAGGGTTCGCTTGGAGGTAGCACATCATATGTCAAACCGACAGATTGCTCTTGCTCCCACAATGGCGATCGATAGTAGGCACACTTGCTGCACGTGCATGGCTCTCGTATATCCATATATTCGAACTGATCCGCGAGAATGTCAATTTCGTCGTCCTTGTCACAAGTATCCAAACTTATATCTCCTTGCTCAGGTATTGAAGCAACATTTCCAGCTGTAGCACCAACTTGTAGGGCATCAAGCTCATCAATCGCACTGCTCTTCGTACCTACATTAGCACTATGCAATACTCCGACCGAGTTACCAGTTTTCACGTAAGGTGCTTCATCTGCATACGCACTGTTGAAGTACCCAACAAGTGCTTCTTCCCCCAAGAAATAGTCTTGACCATTTATTCCATTTGGGTTGCCTCCAGGACGAACGTAGCGATAGCGCAAATCCAAACTTCTACTCGACGAGGGTTTATAGGACCATCCCACACGGCGTAACACTTTCCAAACGTCCTTGAAATTCACAGAATTATCTGTTGCATAAAATAAAAAACAAACATGTTATCAC